CGGGTGGCGGGAGGATAAGCCCGATCCGGAGTGCACTTATGATGATGATGACGAAAACTCCACTCGGGTCCACTCCAGAACTGAGAACACGCTGACTGCGGCAGGCCGACCGCTGCGTCCGAGGGCACGATGCAGAACGACGCGTGCCGAGCCATCGACGTCACGTTGTTGTTGCCTGTTACGGTCACGCATCGAAGTTCCGATCGAATGTTCTCTGGCCTACGACCCTAACTTGAAGTCCACTCTCCAGCCTCAAGGCGCGCAGAACAATGCTGCTCGCAGTCCCGACTAGGCGGGGTTGATGCTGGGAGCAAGGGTTGATCGCATCGTTGTTACCACAGTGGGACTGTATAAACCAAATTCCGCAGTTGTGCCGAACCCCAAGCCCTTATCTGTCTCTTCGAGATTCACACGCCGTGTTATTTCGAACCCCCCCGCTGGTGCTCGGGGACGCGTCGGTCGACAGGAAGACCGTTCAAGTCTTGGATGGACTGTCTTGACACGCGTCGACGCGTAGATTACACGCGCCTGGGAAATTGATCGCGTTGTGCCTTCATGATCCAGCCCTGATCCGATCGTTGCACTTGCAATCTGAGCACCCATTTCGAGCAGCTTGTGGTCGGGAAGGAACTAGCACGACGGGTGGCAATAGCTGGAGAATCACCGGGGCTCGATCGGGTTGTTACATACAGTAGATGCAGTGGAACAGCTGAATCAACCAAAGCTGTCGGTGAACCCTGTACCCAGGTCTGACCTCGTGTTTTCATCCCCGAAGCGCGGCACGTGAATCAAATCTTCTCTTGACTCTGCCTTCCACTTTTCTGCTCCCGCCTTTTCGTTCGTCCTCCTCGCATTTTCAGCGCTGACCACTTCACTCATCTCAAGCATCTCAGGGCGACTCTCCATCCAAAGGGTCCGATAACTTGGCCTGTCGCCCACGCGTCCCCCACGAGGCACTCTTCTTTCCCATCGGCCCATACATTTTTTGACCTCAAACACACCACAAAAATCTGTCAACAGCAGCACTCGATCCAAAGTACGGCGCTTCGAGTCATCGCATTCTGTACAGCTTTATAAACGCGATAGCGCAGGGAACCCATGATGTCGTTTTTCTCTGGTCCTTTCCTCTCGAACCCCACAACGACCTCGGCAGCACCGACCACAAGCAACGGTTACATGACTCACAAGAAACCCACTCCCGGGGAACGGGTCCGTCAAGAATGGGCGGCATTTGTGCAATTCATTGAAGACGGCCCTCGTGCGGAGATGGATCGCTCATTATCGCGTACCTTCCAGGATCTCGACGCTCGCTGGAAGGCCATGCCCCCACGCTCACGACCAACTCACTCGGAGTTGGAGCAGACCAAAGAGACTACTCGCCGTCAACAACACGACGCGCTTGTGATGGCGTCACGCGAGGCGTGGCAAGAACGCCTTGATAAGGCAGGGCTGCGGGATGAGGACTGGGGTGACATGGCGCACCTCGAGCTCCTCGCTGTCGAGCGCTTATTGGGTGGCGGGCTTGACCAGAACGGACTTGCACTGGTGAAGGCTGATGACAACAACGCAGCTCCCGAACCCATCGCACTTTCGATCATGACACGTTCTGCCAATGCCTCGAGCATGTCCTCTTACTCAATGGTGTCTCCGACGTCTCTTCGACCGGAGGATGACCCGGACGATGACGAAGCCTATGAGTCGATGTTCTCTTCTGAACTGGTGAGCACTATAACAACGTGCCGCCGAGAATCTCGCTCACCACTGTCGTGTGACCTTTCATCTGCGCAGAACCACAGCTCCGCTCCGTCCAGCGACGGCGAAGCTTTCGACCCACCAACGCACACGGCTTGGGGTTGGACTACAGATTCGTCGTCGACCTACGATGTCTGGTCTGCAGCAACCAGCCAATCGTCGAGGCAGAGCTCACAGGCTGGGTCCCCGGAACGACTTCCCAAGGCCATGCCCTCCTTTGCTGGACACAGCGCCCTGTTTTCCCAAGGCGACCCATTCTCCGTTCCACAGCAGCATCACCACAAACCCACAGACAGAGATGTTCCTCGCACTCGTGGTCCTCGTTATATCGGGCCACAGATTGTCGATTCGGACGCTGAGACCGACGCCTTTGACATCGTCGACGAGAACGCCGAGGCTGAAGCTGCTTTCGCCAAGTTCAAGATGGATGTGCGCGCACGAAAAATTCGCGAGTTTCATTCCGAGGCTGCTGAGGCGGATATCGCCCTGGCGATGGAACTCGAAGAGCTGTATAAGGATCGAGAGCGCGAGATGAGCAGCGGGAATCGCGGTCGAGGCACAATCACCGCTCGTAGCGGGATCAGTCGATGGCACGAAGAAGAGGCTGCCAAGATCAAAGCGCACGAAGCTCATATGCTGTCTCTGCGACACGCGAAAGAGAGCGAACGTCGAGAACTGGTGCACGCTGAACGTGAGAAACGGCGCTCGCAGTACATGGCGCGGAAGGCTGTTGGAACTGGCGAGAGTCTACGGCAACGACTTGCGCAAGAAGTTGAATCGAAGCTTAAATCGGAGAGTCGCCCGATGCCTGGAGCGTTCGATTTCTCGTCTGAGCCCCTCGTTCCTACAAAGCGGGACCGTCGTCAGTCGCAATCCACAATCAGCTTCAAGCACGACATCTCGGACGAACCGATGATCGAGACCGACAGGCTTGGCGCGGACTTCCTCGACTTTCTTGAGTCCCACTCGGTCGTGGAGTCGGTTCATTCATTTGCTGGTGATGACTTGCTCATGGACACGCTCGAAATCGGATCCTCGACAGCCAAGGTGCAGGCATGGCTTCCCGAGACTAGCAAAAAGCTCCTAAGAAGAAAAGCCCCACCATCGATACCGTACTGGCTGTCAAACCTACCAGCGACCCGCTATCGACTCCGATTCCGTCATCCAAAAAAGAAAAGGGCAAGTCGATTCCTGAACCACCGGCGAGGACATCTGCTAAAATTTCGACTCCCGTTCCCGTGCCAAGCCGAAGACGGCGAAGCCGCTGACGAAGAAGCAGCAGGAGGCCGAACGAAAAGCTCAAAAAGCGGCAGAGGACGCCAAGAAGAAGGCCGAGTTGGAGGCGGAGAAAATCAAGGAGGAACAGGCTCGGAAGGAGGCAGAAGAGTTCAAGCGTAAGGCTGCTGAGGAAGCCAGACGCAAAGCTTCCGCGGAGGAAGCTAGACGCAAAGCGGAGGAGGCCCAACGTCGTGCGATTGAAGAAGCCGAGCGCAAAGCTGCCGAAACCAAGCGCCGGGCGATCGAAGAAGCTGAGCGAAGAGCGGCGGAAGTCAAGCGCAAAGCGATCGAGGAACAACTCCGGCGAGAGGAGGAGGAAAAAATCAGGGTGATGCATGAGCGCAGACTTCGTTTCGAGCAGGAGGAAGCGGCAAGGCAGCAGGAGCTCGCCCGAAAGCTGAAAGAGGCTAAGGCTCACGAGGAAGACGTTCGCCGCAGAGCAGAGGAAGTACGCCGTCACGAGGACGAAATCAAGCAGAGGCAAGATGCCGAACGCCGGCGACGTGATGATATCGAGCGCCAACAACGAGAACAGGAGGTATTTAGATTGCGGGAGCTCGAGATTAACAAGCGTCTTGCCGAAGAGAAACGACAGGTCGCTGCGTCTAAGAACCCGTCCCCTCCAACTTTCGATCCTCGGCCCACTCTCTCCTCGGCCTCGTCGTCTGCCATGTCTTCAACCTCGTCGTCGACCTCGTCGTTGTCGGCGTTCCAGAAAAAGCCCAGGCCAGCAGTGGAGCTGGAGACTCCGGGTGCTAGCTCGTCTCGGACGACCATCGAAAAGACGCATCGCCCCCCATCCACAAATCGTTGGCATCGGACTCATCGATGGCCTCGTCCCTTTTCAGTCGTCCCCCGCCCCCAGTGCAATCACAGTCCCAAGTGTGGGTGTCGAGCTCTGCAGCTGCCGCTGCGAAAAAAGACGCGGCCAAGACCGCGTCTGCTTCGGCCCGAGTCTCTGCGCGACCGTCGGCTGAAGCCCCGCCTCGTCAGCGCCGTTTGTCGGATCCAGTCCCGCCCGCCCCAGTCAATAATAACAAGCCAAAAGCAGGGAAGAAGGCGGCAGGTGTGACTATCGAGGAAGTGTCCGATGAGGAGGAGATGGATGCCGATGCCATGGAGCGTCTGCCGGTCGATTCACGATACATCTTCGAGCCCAAGCCTAGCGTTCCCGCGGGGAGCACCGTGTTCACAGACATCTTCGAGTTTGGAGACGGAGCTGAGCCTGAAGTGCCGCTGGTCGGCAAGGGGAAGGGGAAGGCCCGCGGTTTGTAATACCGAACCTAGATTTGTTTCGTTTCCTGTATGTACTCACCGTTCTCGCTGCCGTGGTTCGCTCTCGTTGCATTTGCTCAGCTATCGCTCACATTGCTGTATGTATAGTCAGTATTCTCAGTATCCATTAGCTAGTGACATACCGTATCTGGACTGTTTTGTATTTCATCTGCATCTATAGAGGTTTTCTTTGTCAAGTGGTGAGCTGAGCAAGGACGACGGTTACTGGGAGAGCCTCATGACCAGCGCGAGACTCCTTATATCTCTCCGAGCCATCAGTATCTCACATGTGGAACACGCACAGAGAGGATGTCCTTATCTCATCATCTGAGCTCTGTCTTACAAGAGTTTGGCGCGATCATGTGACTAATCACACACGCTCGCGCCAAGCACTTGATGTGATAATCGCATCCTATGGGCCGAGTTGCACAGTAGAAGAAACCTCCAATGCGTTCAAGGAGGGTGAAAGAAATTGACATCATTTTGGTGCGTGTTCTATGCACTCAAATCCGTTACCGGAGTGACTAATGACTGGATAGATACTAAGATGGGCATGCTACTCAGGCCTGAGTACAGGAGAAGAATTCCTCAGCCGACTCAAGATTCGAGTAAACTCCAACTAATCAGACTACAGCCATGTTTCAGCTGTCACACACTAAAGAGGAAACGGTGTTACCTAAATGAGAACCCACCCCCTCAGGCTCACCACCCACCACTCCATCCCCATGTCAGACACAAAGCGTCTGACGGGCTTTCGAAGCAAAGGAAAGCGACTTGTGATAGCTGTTTTATGCATTATTTGCTCTGTGGTCTTCCTGCTGTCTCTCCACTCTTCCAACCCTCTCTCGGCATCAACAACGCGACCTTCCGGGTCGAGCAGGATCTTTGAATTGTCTTCGACAGCCGAAAGAATCGACCATTACCTTCATAAACAAGCACCCGCTGAAACGGTTACAATCACCGTGACCACGGTTTGGCAAGCAGTCCCCACAACCACGGCCTCTGAGGAAATCGGAGGAAATTTCCTTCGATCGACTCACGCAACACCATCTTTCCGCGAGAACTTGCGACCAGAGTTGAAGTACGTATCCAGTTGGCCAGCATTCGGATGGGTATGTCTGCACTGAAATGTATCCTCTTTCCCTGGTATTCACGACGCGTCCAGAGTGAGTGCCGCCTGTATGTCGACACAAACCATAGCTGATGACGCATTCAGACAATCAAGTAATCGAATCCGTCCGTTTAACCAAGTGTGATACGCGCTGGAACTTACTCCGACCGACAGATGAATTTGCTCTACCTGGCTCTCATTACCGAACGTGTTCCGATCATACCTGCCTTTTCGCCCTTCACCAGCTCGCATGTAAAAAGCGAAGAATATGTCGAGTTCAGTGAAGTCTTTGATTTGCCCCACTTGGAGAAGATGATGAAGACAAAGATTCTGGAGTGGCACGAGGTCAAAGTGCGTTCATCAATTGCATCCGCGTCCGTCGCGAGACCGACGATAGACATAGGATCCGTACAGCGAGACTATGGAGCCCCTAGGATGCTGGAACCTTGAAAAACTGTCGAGCGAAGTGATGGTACTCAGCGTTCCTCCTGCTAATCTGAACCTTGGTGTGTTCGCACCCGTGCAGCTTGCTCCTTATCGTTCCGTATTGTTCAACGACAGGGTCATTGCGCAGACATCTCGTACACCACCCCGCCCAAATGGACTAAAGCTTATCCTGACAATCCAAGCGATCCCCAGACCAAGTTTTGGTCACTAGCCACCCTCGGTTTCTCTGACACGCAACCGAACGGACTGATACCCGAAGTATCCCTCGTCGGGCAGAAGTCTTTGCCCGCAGATCAGCAGCTGTTATGTTTCGACAATCTTTTGTTCGTTTGTGCGCACGAGGTGAGTTTCTAAGTACATCTTGACTGCGCTGAACATTGTGCCCGTTAGCCATGGGAGTTGGGGAAGATGTACTCGCCCGTTTGGCGCTTCGTCGGACAGCATATGCGCTGGCATGAACGGATCCAGACGATCGCCAACGATTTCATCAGACAAGCGCTGGGAGTTGAAGCTGACGCACGGTTCCTCCGGTGAGCAGGTGCCTTCAACTACGGCCACCGACTTGACTCGTTCCGACTTCAGTATGTCGTCGTCCATATCAGACGGGGAGACTTCAGAGAGCAATGCCTCGATTTGGACCCGAGTATTTGCCTCGCCCCGTTGTTGTTGTACGAGATCCAAGTCGAAGCAGTCAAGGAAGAGCTGCTGGCGATGAAAGGAATCAAAGTTGACCATGTGTTCGTTACATCTGACGAAGAGGACCCTAGCTGGTGGGAGACAGTTTACGAACGAGGATGGAAGACTTTGGATCATAGTGCGATACTGACTCAGCATGGACCCTGGTGCGTTGGCTTCTCCTGGGTAAGCTGCTCACAAGGCAATTCCAGGTACCCTGTCTTTATTGACGCCGTCTTGGGCTCTGGAGCTGCTGGATTTGTTGGAACATATACCTCAACAGTATCCATGCTTGCAATGATTCGGGTAACCGCATGGAACAATGGTGTGAATCGCTCTGTGCGGTGGGGACATCACATGACGCAAGAGGATCTCAAAGCCCTGACCAAGCAGCAATGAGGATGAGGTTTAGTTGCATTTTCATAGGAGAGAAGAGAATTTCCGAATTGCGTCAGAAGCGCCGAAGGTTGCTCACCTTTGGAATGTACTATATTGTAATCGAACGACAGCTTATCCTCCCCGGAGTGTTTACAACTTTGCCTCGAATTCGGGCTGATCTCCAAGTGCCGCAATGAAATCGGCCACTGCTGTCCAATAGCCCGGCTGCACACATGTATCGTCTAGCAGAATGTCAGTCTCGGCCAGAGTCATCGAAACAGGAAAACACCTACTGTGCATGCCTTTTTCGAACTCGACATATTTAGTTCTCTCGGGCCCGTCTCGCTTCGCGTTGGATTCGCCTCTGCTGGAAAGCCTCTCCCATAGGGCACGCATGTGCTCTTTGGGAATCAGCTCGTCCGCCAGCCCACTGAGCATCAACACCGGCGTTGTCACTGGAATCCGAGACAGCTTGTCTATTGACTCCCATTTCTGGTGGCAGAGAATCGTCAACGGCCCCAGAAGTGGTAGAACTTGAGGCACAAGGTTGGGGAGAGAGGTGAATGTGTTTTCGAGGATCAAGACCCCGATCTGAAGTGGCTGGATCAGTTGAGCCCGCACAAAATAGAGGAGAATCGGACCTTGTCTGGATTTCGGCTGGCGAGGTCAATAGATACGGCACCACCTATTGACTGGCCATAGAGTACCTACTACATTGTCAGCTGGTCAGCTAGAGGCAGAAAGAGCCGCGCAAACGATTGGTGTTTTCGACAGACACGGATCAGAGAGAAGATAATCCAGCACAGTCTGAGAATCCGACCGCAGTCCTATTCATTGTCAGTCGTACCCTTTCAAGGTGAGAGACGGCATGCCTTTCTCAGACGGAGATCCTTCTGACAGTCCGTACCTGTAGAAGCGTGAGGATAATTCTGACAATGGGGATCAGTTTGAACAACTATACCCTCGGTACGAGACCATGAGCACATTACATCTCATTCGCAGCACGAACACTCGCGCGAGAGGGATGCGGTGTCCGATGTTCCCTGCATTCCCGTGAAACATGACCACCGTCGGCCTGCTGGAGATGAACTGGTGTCGATGGGTCAGACATTCAAGCCAGCCAATGCCGTCGTACCTCATCCTCTGACATCCCAACCTCCCCTTCCACCGGCTGCCCTGCAGCGTGTTTCTCTCCCAACCCTCTGCTCTGCAGCATCAAGAAGCACCTCAGTGTCACTCCATCGGGCGTTGTGAGCTCCAGATCTTCGAATGACAGCCCGAAGGATGACGGAAGCGCGACCTCTTATGATCATGAGCTGACGCGTAGCACAAAGAGGCGGACAGAGACCTGTGCGTGAGCCCGGTGGAAACGCAGACGGGTAGATGAGATAGTTTTGACCATAGTACAAGAGCCCAGCGCCTGGAGGAACTCTATACAGTCGCTCATGTGGCGGGGGGGTGCATACCGATCGTGAACAGCGTGGCCGCAGTAGCGAAGGTGCCCTGTAGGACTTGAGCGGATTACCACCGGAAAACAGCCCCACAAACCTTGGCAAACGTTTCCAGCGAAGGCAGTGTCATTACAGCCGTTATACTTAGATTGCTCTGAGAACGAGGATGGAAGGCACAATATCAGCACTGCCACTACGTGGGTACTTATGTATACACCAATAAGCAAGTACATTGGCTCGATGATACATGTCATGTCCACCCTCGAGCAGCTCCTCTTCCTCCGCCATGACCTCGTTCCTTCTCTAATACAAACATAGCATCGCGAAAATTGACGCGAATACCCTCATCCGTTGGAGCTGGTCGATCGGGCCGCATAGCTGAATAGACCATGCCTTCTTCGAAGGGCGGCTCAGGACCTGGGACCATGACTCCACCCGCGCCGGTCTTCGGACGGTGAGCGGCTGTGAGCCACGCATATTTGCCAATCAAGCCAGCCGCCCGGTTAGCGGCAGCGTTGGTCGTGTCTAAATCCCTTGGCCGGGTTGGTTTCTCCTTCGCCGTCTCACCACTCCTGGACTCGGTCGACTCGACGCCGTCAACAACCATGTCGTTTCCGGACCCTCTTGTAGCACGTTCTTCTCTGGCCAGCATCTCTTCCTCCCGCTCAACTTTTTCCAACGCAGCCAGTTGTTTCTCGATATCCGAGCGCACCAGTATACCCCAGGCAGCTCTCCCATCCTCAAAAACTGAAGAGGGGCGATCAAACTGGGTCTCCAGTCTGTGGTGTGCCGCGTGGATCATGGCCGTCACGAGATCTTGCAGCCGTGCACGGAGGGCTAGAGCAAGGTAGTTGACCGTATCTGCGGGAATAGCAGCGGTGACTTTGTGCTGCGTAGCTATCGTCCGCATCGTAGCAGACAAATTCACAGTATCGAAATTCGGTTTGGAGGGCTGCTTTCGAGATCGGTCTTCGAATGGGCGGAACGATGGAACTTGTTCGTGCGAACGCATTAGACTTTCTTCTTCCGCCTAGTAAAAGCATGAGCGCCCGTACACTGCACATGCTCCCAAATCACACACCCGAAGGTCCACGCCCGCACTTCCCAGAGCATCATTCAAGGTTGCTACGTCTGAAGTGTCGAGAGCTCCGGTATTGCCTTGTTGTTGGGCGGCATTGTTCGTGATGGCCTGACGAGCTATGGAAGACTGTGTGTTTGTAGACGTCGACGGATGATATTGGAACGAAGATTGTTGGAAGCTCGAGAATTGCGGCGTGTAGGGCTGGAACGTTGATGCTGTGGGACTAGAGCCAAGCAATGGGACGCGTCAAGACGGCACAAACGACGGATATACGAGGGATATGTTACGTGGGATATGTGCGCGGGACGACCGTAGTTGTGGGTGGTGCAGCTGGGGTCTGGTCTTCGTCTCCCTCGATGACGATGACTGCTGCGCGTCAGCGATGCATCGAACGCCCAGGCGCTTCACGCACGAGACGCCCAGATGTCGGGTGAGATTATCGGGACGTTACTTGAGCTCATGCTGACGTGCTTCGGCGGTGGAATCCTCGTCGAGTTATATGCGTCTGAACTTCGTGAAGTGAGCCAGGCAGAGACGCTTTGATGGCTAACAGGGAACGCATCTGATTAGATTGATTTACCTCATCAAACACGACGCCGTGCAATACGCGTTAAGAACTAAAAGTCTTGGATTTCATCGTCCTTGAGCCAACCCCCATCGAACACGTCCTCTTCTGCATCCCATCCACCCCGTGTACCAGCTTCGTCCTCTAGAAGTAGCGCATCTTCACTATCTAATTCATCGCCCTCTCCAAGAGGTTTTGCTCTCAATTTGTCGTCTCCGAAAGAGAACGTAGAGAACAGACGATGAGACGCAGGGCCTTTCATATTCGAATTGAATTTGTCCCGATTTTTCAGCACTGTACCGAGTTGAACAGCGACCTCGGTCCGGCTCCAACTGGCGGGTTCCCCTCCTTCCTGCGATCACGTCAGATGCTGATTGAATGAAAGTGGAATGGCAGTACCTTGTGTGGTGCGTCCTGCCCAATCCAGCTGCGGACGTCTCGAACACTATCCCAAGCTGCCTTCTCTTTTGACAGAAAGTCGAAAAACTCGGGCTTGAATAACTTCTGGCCTCGCCGCGAGACAGGTGTCGGCAGCGAGTGCAATGTTCCCAGAGAAAGAAGGTGGAACTGATGGGGATTTGCTTGATACCACTAAGACAATTCAGCATTGACCAGATGTGGCTGCACAACTTACGGCTTCACCACCACTTGAATCGACCCAAGAGAGCGTGTCGGCTATACCGAAACACTGCTCTACTTCATTGCAGAACTGGCCGTAGTTCTGATGGATATATAGAGAAAACAGGGAGGAGTCGATCGGAGAGTCCGCATACAGATCCTGAAACATATCAAATGACGAATGCCGTACATCGGGGACAGAACTTGCATCAACATTGACACGACTTGTCCTCCGCTCATGTTCACCTTGCCACGGATGTATTTTGGGAGGGTCTCGAAGTACAGCGTCCAGTTCTCTGTCTCGCTTGATGTCCTTGGCCGTTGCACTCGGATTCGGCGGGTCTCCTTTACCTGGAGGACGTTAACGAGTGCAAGACAAGGTCGGTTCTGCCCACGTTTATTGTACATCACCCTGCCGATGAAATGGAAGAGTTCTAGGCCTTGTTCTCTTCTGGTGATTGCCTGTAGAAGTTGCTTAGTGCTCGTCCTGGCCCCATTCTTCCGCGGCATCGCAATAACGCAAGAGAACTGCAAAGCCATAATCGCACTGCGGATGTCACCACTCGAAGTCTCCACAACCAGGTCGATCATTTCCTTGCTTGGGGGTGTTCCAGAATGCCGCATAGAGAAATGCGTTTGGACCAGTGTTTGAAGCGCTCTCTTCATCAACGTCATAGCTATGGGGTTGAAGCTGCGCAAATCAAGGAGTTATATTGGCACAGAGGGAGAATCACACACTTGATTTGAGTCACGTATGGCCCATTCAGAAGCTCCCTCGGAAGAATGGTCCGGATGTTCATAACCCCCTCCTGATTTCTCGACCACAGACCCGCAGCCAACCGCTCATCGGAAGCCTCTCCTCTAGGCCCCACGTCGCTCACGACGAGGACGATGGGTGCGGGATTCGCAACCGCCGCTGATACTACAGAGTGCAGAACAGAGTGAAATTTAGCCTGAATTTCGGCGTGAAGAATATTAGGCAGATCTTCGAGAAGTATTATTTGTCTTTTGCGTTTGGGAATATTGGACGAGTGGTCGAAGATGCTTTGACATGACGAGGCACGAAGAAGAAAACTCTCGAACTTAGAGAAAGTGCTTTCGTGATCAGCATTCGAGTAAGAAGGATCTTCTGACAACTTTCGATCCCACAGCTTCGGGACGATGAGAACGACGTACCTCCAGTGACCAGAGGACTCATCGCATTCCGCCATTCCAATATCTCACAATCAAACTGCCTCGCTAGCACTCGTATCGTGGAGGTCTTAGCAGTCCCCGCAGGCCCAGTCAAAGCCAGAACCCGCTGGTGCGCATTGTTTGAAAGTCTACGCAGTCACCACAGGACGACGCACCCGATACTTGCTCAGCTTCCCTGATAGTCCACCAGCAAAGGCCTCATCCAGCCACCGACGTACTTCTTCGACTTTTTTGGGATGTACGGCGAGCTCGGCCTGAAACCGAAAGAATCAGGAACACATTAACAGAGGGGGCAATGAAGTTCAAACCTCACTCTGCGGTTCGTAGATGTCCACCCACAGTTGATCTAGCGCAAAGACATTGGAAGATTCGAATAGAGAATAACCCATCTACGCACCGGTATCGGGCTGCGACACGTCGACTGCTTCCGCTTTCTCTTTCCCCTTACTCTTTCCTGTCCGGTCCGTTCGAGAGACATTTTGAGAGGCCGACTGAGGGTGCGAGAACTAGAGGGGTCGAGTATTTGATCTGGCTGATGTAAATGATCGTACTGTTTTGAACGGGTCGAGGCGGACACTGCTCCCCGACGGAGTGGAACTGAGCTTGATTGTACTGGCCTTCAATGAGCTCTTGGTTGCCTTGTTCGTGGCCTTCGTTTGGGATCCAGATGGTTGAGATATTCTGGGAGGCATGTTAAGGTCTGTGACACAAGGTCGATAGATAGATCAAGCAGCGAGTGAGATGTTTACGGTCAAGCAATAATGTCGGCGTGATCCGGGTACGCGTATGGGAACATGCACATGATGTGACACATCACACACTTGTTGTCAAGTGCAAGCATGGCAGGATCCGCCACAAGCCTGTGGCACAGCTCCCATTGTCGCTGTTCGACTCAGGGGCTATCGACGATACTATAAAACCTGCAAGCGAATTCGATTACATTTGTTCTCACTCCTCCCCTACACCACCTCCCTTCTTACCCTCCTCCCCGTTCTCGCCTAGCAAGATGCGATCATGCAGCCTACTCCTTCCTTCTTTCGCTCTTTTCTCGTTTCTTTCTCTCGTTGCAGGCTCGCCCCTTCTGCTAGACTCTTTGCTCAATGACGATGCAAGCAACCCCAATCCCTCCTCCCAAACCGAATCTCTTCCTGCCTCAAGTGATTCCTCGCCCAGCGTGGCATCGCCCAACACGGTTGTCGCCCATTTCATGGTCGGCAACGTTTTTCGGTACACCGAGGAAGATTGGGTATCGGGTGCGTATAGAAGCTCGCTGTATCTGACTCGCTGAGTATTCTCCATAGAGATGACTCTCGCTCAGCGCTATGGCTTCGATGGCTTTGCACTAAACATCGGTCCCGACGCATGGCAACGCGATCAAATCGTGAAGGCATTTTCTGCCGGGGAGAAAGTAGGATTCAAGTTGTACATTTCCTTCGACATGAGCTGTATCTCCTGTGTTTCCGACACCGACAAGACCCTCCTTGTTGACTACATCAACGACTTCAGCGATAAGCCCGCGTATCTTCAGTTCAATGGCAAACCTCTCGTTTCCGCTTTCTCTGGGCAAAATTGTGCTTTTGGTGCCTCGGACCCCAACGCTGGCTGGCGAGACATCGTGGCTCAGACATCTGTGTCTTTCGTTCCGTGCTTCTTCGTCCAGCCCGAGGATCTACCAAAGTGGGACTCGCTCGACGGTGTATCCAACGTACGAACATGTCATGATACTTGACCCTTTTGACTGATGTGCAACCAGTGGAACAGTGGCTGGCCTTCGGGCGACTACGATATTGATTTTTCCCGAGACGATGACTGGATCAACCATCTTGACGGTCGCCCGTATATGGCTTCAGTCTCTCCCTGGTTCTTCACGCACTACGGGCGCAATAGCTGGAACAAAAACTTTGTTTACCGTGCCGACGACTTTCTCCTCTCGCAACGCTGGGAACTTCTGGTCTCCAACCGCGATCGTATACCGATCGTGCAGTTCATCTCTTGGAACGACTTTGGAGAGTCGCATTACATTGGCCCTGTTCTAGCAAACACTGATCAGCCGAACTCTCAAGCATGGGTTAACGGATTCGATCATCAAGCCTGGCTTGAAGTGGTCAAATTCTATATCGCGGCGTACAAGACAGGTCCTTATCCTCGGATCACGCAAGACCGTGTCGTTATGTGGTCACGGCTCTTCCCTACTGACGCCGAAGTGGATACTGATCCCGTAGGCCCGCCGGAACACCATGACTGGGTCGAAGATTCGCTCTGGGCAGTAGCATTTCTGACTGATGCCGCCAAGTTCACCGTCTACTGCGGCGCCTCTTCAAACAGTGTCTCTGCATCATCTGGAGGTCTGGTCAAACTGAAGCTCCCGCTCAAATCGGATTGTTCTGTGTCTGCGCTGATTGAGCGAAACGGCGATCGGGTTGTGGACTTTGCGCCCGCCAACTTCGACTTCAGCACCACACCTTCGACGTACAACTTCAACGCGTTTGTGGCAGCTTCTCCATAGAGTCGTGTTTGTTGTATTTGTATTTGTACACCCTGCTAGATGAATTACGCACTTACACCCTGGAAGACGTCTTGGAAGATGGTAAAGTTACCAGGACCATTCCCTGGACGACTGAATACAGCGAACTGGACCTTCTTGAACCAACCCCTGAACTCCTGGTCAAGTAGAATGTCTCGCATCTCCTCGGCTACTACGGTCGGGGGACAATGGTAGGCTCCACATCCCATCGCACCTGAGCGGCGATCAACACAGCACGGCGACAGAATAGACACTAGAAAGTACGTACCGAGAACAAGGTGATCCTGGGCATTGTGGGCTGCGATGCGATATATCAGGCGGATCTTTTCCCGAAGGTCTTCGAGATCAGAGGCGTTAGCGAACGCCTTTTCGTCACGGGTAAGTCGGGGACCGCGAGGTCCTGCTACAGTGATGACAGAAACGATGCATCGCTCGTCGAGAGGAAGATCCACGCAGTCGTGGTCAAGATCGTCCTTGAATACGACGACCCCAGGTGAGTATATGCCGGCGACGCAACCAGGTCCCAGGTTGGGCCAGGGATAGTACTCCTCCTTCAACGTCACGTAGAGGGTGGAAGAATAGCACAGCGCCTCCTCCTGCGTTGTCGTCATGTCGTGCAGCCAGGGACCTGCAGGAAGCAGATCACTGGCAAGATTGAGGATAGAGACTTTGGCATCGCTGTCAGCCGCCAGGTGGTTGCGCGCCGCCTTGAACGCGTCTGAATTGATGATCTCAACAGGTTGTGGAGGGTGTCTCGGATTGAGACTGGAGTCCAGGGGAGGCAATTGCTCGCGTATAAAGATCGAATCTGTGGATGCACCTTTGTCCTGGTGCTCGCCCACGATGGTCAGGGATCTGTTGATGGTGTTGAATGCGATCTTGGTACGATTCTGTCTGTTTGGAGCCATATTACAGGAAGCAGACGGGTGCAGTACAAGGATTCTGTGAGAATTAAGAACGACTGGTGTTGCGTGAAACAAGGAAGGGAAGGGATAAATACAAGGTTCGTCTTCTCTGTAGAACGCAAGTGTTGGTGCCGATGTGATTACACAGCTCAGTAAGAGCTGTGAAGATCTGGGTTCACGCGTGGAGAAAGTGGGAGGAAATGGGGCTTGTTAGATGGTTATATCGTCCATGATGCTCTGAGCTTTATACTGTAGTGAGTATCGTAGCCGTAGTAACGTACAGCCATAAAGCACATCTGCAGGCCAAAACAGGATTCCGTGATGTCATTGATAGTGATGGTACTAGTATTCATTCACAGCCCAGGTTAGACACTGAACGCCGTGATTTCAACATGGCCCAAAGTTGATAGTAGCTACGGTAGATTGCACATGATGAATTTTTGAGCTGCAAATAAAAATCACTGTTCAGGCTCATAGCTGGGTGACAGCTCGGTCAAGATATGATCGATTCACACTGATTGCCGTGCGGGATGTTCGATTCGCGTTTACATCAAACATGGTCTACGGGAAGGTGGTGTTCACAAGGCGTTCGCTGAGAACCCACAGGTCGTGCGATCTGACCTGGATTGATAGAAAATTTATAAATCATCATCCTCTCGGTTGGAACGCGACTTACTGGATCTTTGCTGTGCTCTTTCACGCTCTCCATACTTACGCCGCAATCCCGCAGATAAGATCCGGATTTATCTGCAACGGTTTGAGTTCATTTTTGAGAAAATATCGGAGAGAAGTACCATTCAAGGTCCGGTCGAATGCAGCGAAAAGGATGCTGTAGATCTGTCATGGAACGTTCTTCAATCGAACGGAGGAGCACTCACGTAGATGCTCCTTGAGCAATAGTTTTCCAAGGGAGATTGAAGTCCGGGTTCGGTTTACCATCCTTAGTGATGACGCCTGCGAGAGTGAGCGATTGAAAGTGATGATAGATAATTTCCACACCGTATTCAAACAGTTCATCGCTGGCTTCAGGGCTAGCCATGAAGTTCGTCATGATCACTGGGTGAGGTGTCAGAGCTTGCGGTGCAGATATATGTGGGCAGACGGGCCTCCCGGCGTCAAGCTGTAAGCGTTGATCCTGCCCTTGTATCGCCGTGCAAGCTCGCATGTAGTGAGAATATTGGCCGACTTCGCTTGGGAGTACCCTCGCATTGGCGCATATTTACTCTCATCTGGGTGCTCCACCTGGTCCAGGATGACCCCTTCGTGCCAGGCATGCACTCCGCTGGCAACGAACACTATACGGGGCGTGTAGGTGTCCGTGCCAGCAGCGAGAATCTTCGGCAGGATCAGAGAAGTGAACAGGAATGGGCCCAAATGATCTGTGGCTATTTGACGCTCGAAGCCATCGACGGTCAGCGAGAATCCGCAGATGGAGGAGGCAGCGTTGTTAATGAGAACCTGGGATGTCACCAAACGCTCAGATTGGAGACGCGTTGGCCAGCGTGACGACTCACATGGATAGGCTCAGTGTATGCGTTGACTTCAGCAGCAGCCGTGCGCACATCTGCCAGACAAGCAAGATTGAGGGTGAGAGTGCGAATGTTGGCGGTTGGGACTTCGGTCACGAGGAGCTCTTTGGTTTTCTGCAGTCTGCCGGGCTCATTCGTCGGGAGGAACAGTCTGTGGGAAAGACATTGGCTGACCTTCCGGCATCATATCCCGTCACGATAACCAGATTAGCGTATGTCGCAATCGCTTTCGCCGTCTCATATCCCAATCCGTTCACCGAAGTCCCCGTGACAAGCACTGACACTGGTAAAGATCACAGCTCCGACCGAGTGTCGCGTGAACGGACCATTCTTCCCGCGCACTTGATCAGCTAAAGCGGTGATAATTTCAGTTGCAGTCGTCAGGGCTCCGAAAGTCGACATCAGTGGGGGGAGAAAGGATTGGAATGCATTATTCATGCGAGATTGAATTCATTTAAAGCACGTCCAAGCCCGATATACGCCGGACGCCGAGAACGCGTCTGCGCGCCGGCATTGGACACGTGATTGATGGGAGCGTGTCGCGAGAGCTGTCGAGACAGTCGAGAGCTTCCGTTGCCGATGCCAGTGGAAGCGACGAAGTCTCGACTTTGAGTCGGCTTCAAACTTCAGGTTAAACTTGTTCTGGTATTGGTTGCAACTCCAAGTGCTGCACAAATCATTCGTTCCAGCCGGCCTATAAAATCTACTGAGATGTGCCCAGGATCATCTTCTGTTCACCACCGAGTCAAATCTACTTCGGCTTCGCCAAAGAGGCTTTCCTTCTTCGGAGCGAAGTCACCTTCTATGTCAGCAAGATCGCCGGTATAGAAGTCGGCGAATTCACGATGCAGGAAGGCCAGAACATGCTTGTTTATCTGCTCGAACTCCACGAGGAACCCGTCATGCCCCTCTCCACTGGCTACCACCACAAGCTCTGAATCTGGAATGTGGGCAGCGATGAGCTTTTGTTCTGGCGGAGTGAAGAGCCCATCGGATTGTATGGAGATGACAAGCGCTCGCTTCGGGAGCTGAGCGAGGACTTCTGCAATCGGGTCGCTGCATGCGCGACTGTCGAAGCGTCCACGCGCCAAGTCATGCGTGTCCATCTTCCTGGTCAAGTGGATGTAGCAGTTGGCGTCGAAGCGCGAGATGAATTTCTGGCCCTGGTAGCGCAGATAAGACTGGGCTGAAAAGATCGGCGGTCTGGTCGGTGTTTCCGACCCGCTCTCTTTGGTGCGATGGCCATCGTTATGGGCATCGACCGCGTTCGGTGGCGGAGAAGGTGGTGGCGAGATAATCCCCGGGGCCGACACAAGAGACTGCTGCACTTGACGGCCGAACCGTTGCTCAAACGAGTCTCGGGATCGGTACGTGAGAAGAGCAGACATCCGCGCCGCTGCCAGTCCACTCCGCGGCTGGGCGTTCACATCGTAGAACCCATCACAGTATCCCGGATCACTGTATATGCTTTGCCTCTGAGCTTCTCCCCAGGCTATGCACCATGCCGAGTGGCGGGCGGAGGTCGCCAGCACAACGATGTGTTGAACAAAGTCTTGTGGTGCAATCAAAGGCCACTCCAAGGCCGCCATCCCACCCATGGAGCCCCCGATCACTACGGAAACACGCCGGACGCCGAGATGAGCGCGGAGAACGTGCTGATGTATGCGGACGTCGTCTCGGATCGTCGTTGGTGGGAAAGCCGGGCCATACAAAGACCCGGTGTCTGGGTTCACCGTGATAGGTGAAGCAGAGCCATACGGGGACCCCATGGTATTCGCGCAGAATATGAAGTATCGGCTGGGGTCGAAGGCCTTGTTCCTGCCCATCAACGGCCCCCACCTATCATCGTCATTCGCACGAACGGGGCGAAGCCACAAACACGTACCAGTCCTCAACATCGGCACTCCCAGTGAGTGCGTGGCATATTACCATGACATTGTCGCGTGTCTCGTTCAGACGGCCCCAAGTCTTGTACGCGACGGGCGCGTCCTTCAGCTCAGTGCCGCAATCCAGAGTGAAAGACGGGACGACGCAGATGTCTTGCTCGATGAGGGGGATGTTGGACATGGTTCAGCGCAAAGAATCGCTTCTCTACAACAGTCGAATAATGAATTGGCTCTGAAGTCCTGTCCGGTTAGATTGTGATTACCAGTCAACTAGTCACAGCCTCGACGTAACAGCTGGTTAACCTAGAATCTTCCCGCAGCTATGCTTAGGAGGCGAACACGTTTATGGAAGACGGAGTTGGACGATTGATGCCCCAAGTGGATAGAAGTGGACCGAGAGAGGCATGGGTCGATACATTTGAAAGCTTTTGCATCGGAGTCAGATTGGAATTCGGCATTTCCCGTGATCGGTCCATGCCAATCACTCCGGCCCGGGTTTCTCATTCCCTCATACTGCTAGTGCTCTCTGTAAACTGACAATCTTCGAGCTGTTTATGTGCTTACCTGCCTCGTCTACTGCTGTCAAATCAGCCCAAGGCTTCACTAAAAGTGCTAATTCCCACAGTACCATCCATTCTTATAGTCCCAAGCCGGACTTCTATGTGAACACTCTTTCACCGTTTGAGTGCACTACATCGCACCGCTACACGGCTACTGGTCTGCCGTGGGTGGGCACTCACGGGCATCTATGGGCATGTTTCTTTGATCTAGATCGTGAAGCTGGGCTCATTTGTGTAGATCAAGTGCTCCGAGGGACCGAGCCTGAGAAGCACGCACAGTCGCGTCATTCGAACATGATCTGGTGGCAAATATCGCAATTCTGGATCTTACTTTAAGATAGTGTTGGGCGTGGTATGTGCGCTGAACAATGCGTGTGCTAGGGATCTTGCTTACTCCCATACTCTGTGTGGCTCAACAAGTTCCATGGACTGCGCCGTTGCAGTCGAGGGAGCCTGATACTTTCCAGCTCAAATGGCCTGTGAAGAGGGTGGCTATAATCGGCGGTGGGGTCAGGTACGTGCTGCTAGTCTACGCGTCCGATCGTTCTAAGCTCTTTTAATTTAGTGGACTTATAGCGTACCGCGAATTCGAGCAAGCCGGTTTCGAGCAAGTCCGGCTTTTCGAGCGCGACTCATTGCCCGGAGGGAATTGGCTCTACACTGAAGACATACCGGGAGATGCGCCTATTCCAAATGTGGAGCCCTCTATTGGAGACTATGTTCCCTCTGTTTTACCACCGGGATCCACCTACCCTTCCGAGAAGATTTATTCTGACGGAGAAGAGCGTTGGAGGGAGCATCGCGCCCCAAAACCTGTTTGGGAGTCTCTGGAAAGCAACGCGCCGGCGGTGAGTGGCAGGGAAGTGATTGTCGTGCTCTTGCTTAAGCTCCCTCTAGCCTATTCAGCAGGTCATTTAGTCTATAGCTACTGGTACAAACTCTCACACTTCGCAGATCACTGAAATTCCATGGCCCCCAGGGACACCTTGGCGTGAGCTGTCTCTCGTTCCATTCGCGACGCCATCGCTCATAACATGATAGATCTGCCACATCGTCTACTCGGTCGATATCTCCGTGCCTTCGCTTCTTTCCACAACGTTAACGCCAACGACGACAACTCGGACGTTTCGTACCGTACAAGGGTGGAGCGAGTCGAGAAGCGACGGAATCCGGCCACCCAAGACGAGGAGGGATGGACGCTGACGCTGAAGCGCGTGGAACTCTTGGACTCCAAGGCGAAAGTGACGTGGTGGACTGAGGTGAGAGCAATCATATCTCTTCCTATTATTGCCCATCCAATCTGCAGGATTTCGACGCTGTCGTAGTTGCAACCGGTCGATACAATGCCCCGAACATTCCTACAATTTCTGGTCTGCAGGAATGGACCGGAAGTTTCCCGGGACGGTAATTCATTCCAGGCAATATCGCCGCCCCGCACGCTTCTCGAATCAGACTGTGCTGGTTGTTGGCGCTGCGGTAGGCAAGATTTCAGAATCTGATAAACTCTGACCGTCTCTTCAGACTAGCGCCGTAGAGATCTCCCGGGAAGTATCTCACTCTGCTCGCAGAATCTATCAGTCCATCAGGGTAAGATGAAGACCGCTACTTGGGTTATATCCCACTGACATCCAAGTGTAGCCTGCAAATCCGAACCTTCCGGATAATGCTGGTCGCAATCATCTCAGTCGACTTCCGGCGAACATCAGCATCGTGCCCGAGATACGACAGTTCCATGCCCACAATCAGACCGTCGAACTAGTCAACGGCACTGTAAGTATCTACTCAGACCCACTCCCTCTCTGACATGTTCCATCGCAGTTCCTCGAGCACATTGACCAAGTCGTGTTTGCCACCGGATACCGTTATTCCTTCCCGTTTCTTCCGCAGTTCCACCGTGAAACGGGATCGACCGACCGCCACATTGTCACAGATGGCACCCATCTACGCGCCCTCCATCTCGACTTTGTCTCCATCGAGGAGCCAACGATCGGATTTCTCAACAGTGAGGCCAAGAACACTGCTTGTAAACATCGCTTATTGGCTTTACAGTGAACTGGGGAATGCAATCATTCACATATGCCGAGTATCTCTCCGTCGCCTTGGCCAAGGTCTGGTCCGCGAAGGCGTCCCTGCCGTCCCAGGACGAGATGTGGAGGGCCCACGACCGACGAGTAGAGGAACGCGGAGGCTATGGTCGCCATCTCCAATTCCTCGGCGAAGACAGAAACTCCGGTACGACGTTTCTTCGAATGCGCCCAAGCGCGGTCGTCTCAGTCATCTGCTAGCGATCATTCGGTACTTTGTCGGCTGGCTCAACGATGCAGCCGTGAAATTCGGCGGAAAACAGGTGCGTGACATTCTTGCGATCCCAGGTTTGACTGGCTGCTGAGCGTTTCACTTGCAAAATTCAGCTCGATGGCGAAGATAAAAAGTATGTGCATCATCTGAGTGCTCGCGTCACCCTATTCATCACATGCGCTCCCAGCTATCACGAAATCATGACGACCTGGATAAAATCGATGTACCCGTCTTACAACCTCCGGGATTCGAGTAAAGAGGAACGCCAATCCGTACAATCAGTGGATTGGATCTACGGAGAAGATTGGTAGAAGGTGTAGGGTCGTAGTCCATCATTTCATATCACGTGATTGTTAATCCCTGTATTTTCGACTTCAACTTCACGGCGAAGTCGTCTCAGCCTCTGCACTCAACACTTCCGTATGAATGGTAGTACATATCATGAACACTGGAATTTGTGGAATTCTTCTGTGCACGTCCCGCCCAATCAGCCAAGCAGCGCGGCATCCTCCTCATCGGCAGGAGGCTGGGTACAGCGCAGGACTCAGAGATCGGACTGATTGAAACAGGACCTAGCCCTTCATAGCGAAATTGAATTGCCGACAAGATGGGGAATATATTGTGATATAAGCTATCTCTGGCGACATCTGACGCGATCGTGTCGCGAATGCTCACTCGCACCCCAATCCCACCATGTGCCGATACTCGAACTTCCCTCACGTCAGATCCCATGGCATGATTCGAGCTCTATATTGCGCCAAAACGACTGGTGCATGCCCGTTAAGAAGAATGCACCTCGTCCAGCCTGCTAGCCGTTCGGTCTACGATTATGACCACACCGAGCTTGGAGTATGCCGTGCCCGCGGAGGTCAAGCCTACACCGCAGACCGACACACAGAGTCGATGGGCGATACTCTGGGACACGGCAGGGGTCGGCCGTGATGAGCGTCGGATGCTGCTCAAGGTCGATGCGTCGCTGCTCATCTTCGCTTCCGTCCGTGCTTTTCTCTGCATCCGCCCCGACATGGCACTCACACCACGTGTAGCTGGGATACTTTATCAAGAACCTGGATCAGGTATGCTTCTCTGTGCAGACTGGTGTTCACAGCCTGACTGGGTTGCATAGACGAATGTCACCAGTGCAGTGAGTAACTGGCGGTATCGCCGATCGTGAGGAAATTCACATATCGATCAAGTTCTTCGCCGGGATGGAGCAAGATCTGTGTGTATTTGGCAACCGAATGCGTGAACTGCACCCCTCAATCGCCTCAGGAACATGACTGGGAACCAACTGGTGTATGCGACATCGTACTGGACCGCAGGGTCAGTCATGCAACCCGTTCTCAAGTTCGTTGACTCAGCTTTGCTGCAGCTATGTCATTGGGCAGATCCCGTCGAATCTCTTGTTGACTCGGATATCTCCGCAGTATGTCATACCTTCAGTGCGTCCCAGTCTTGTCCAATGATCGATCAAACGGGTGCCTGACGGAAAGTTCAGCTCGAACTTGCTTGGGGCCTGGCTACACTCGGAACGTATTCTGTCAAGAACGTCGAGTCACTGTACGCGCTGCGGTTTCTCGTTGGTCTCTTTGAGTCCGGCTTCTACCCAGGAATGCATTACATTCTCGGGTCCTGGTACACTCCACGTGAATTGGCCAAACGGACAACCATATTCTGGACTGCGGGATCGCTGGGCTCGATGTTCTCCGGCTTTCTGCAGACAGCAGCGTACAAACGGCTGAACGGCGTGCATGGGCTAGCAGGCTGGAGGTGGCTTATGATTATCGATGCTATAATGTCCGTTGCCGCCGTCTCCACGCGCTATCGAACTCACCAAATTCAAGAACGATCCCCATCGCCCTGTTCGGCTTCGTGTTTCTGCCAAATCTACCCTGGGCAGCGGAGCCGTCGTTCATGCTCAGTCAGAGGGTGGATATTGCCCGACCTCAGATCCTCCGGTTGCTGATTCCTGCTCAGGACATCGATATTGCTCGTGCCCGTATGAAAGCTGTTGGCCGCAAGTCTCACGAGCCGTGGTCCAAAGCCAAGCTTCGACGCATCCTCAGTCACTGGTACATATACGTGCTTCCCATCGAGTATGTTCTATGGAACAACGGAAGCGCCCAATCGCCAATGCAGTACTGGCTCAAGAGCTTCAACGTGAAACCGTACCCTGTGCCGGGGGTGTCATACTCTGTGTCCCAGATCCAGCTGTGTGCGTCATCTCGTTTGTGTTTTGAACGAGGAAAACTAGAATTCTGTGCTTTCAGTACCGCTTCCTGCGACTGCTATCCTGATTGTCACTGCTCTGATACTGGCGTGGATCAGCGACGGACCTGCAAGAGGCAAGCCCTCAGTCCGCACATCTCCTGATCTGCCAGACTGATCTCCACCTGCAGGCTTGCGTTGGCCATTCATCATTGCTGGCGCTGTCTCGAACCTCATATTCAACATCATCTGGCTCGCACTGCCTCTATACAAACACATCCGGGGCCATTTCGCGTACTTTTACCTAATGACTATCGGGGTCAGTCACGGTTTCGTTTGACTTCTGATTCTAGAGTGTGAATCGATGTTTTAGACGACCGCCGGCCCGTTGATCATGAACTGGATCAGCGAGATTACCCAGATGGACGTGAGCGCATTTCGACTCACTTGTCGACGAGACTGACTAGCATGGACAGAGTGAGCTGCGCGCCCTCTGTGTTGCACTGGGCAACGATCTGGCCTACGTCGTCCAAGCGATCGCGCCTAATTTCGTATGGAAGACAACCGATTTCCCGCGTGCTGCGAAAGGCTACCACTGGTCGATCGGTCTGCAAGTCATGCTGAGTGAGTGGCCGGCTAAATCCCTGCTTTCTCATCTCATCTTCATCAGTCTTGTGGACCGGGCTGATCTTGTTCCTGCTACGCGAAGATAAACGCAAGCAGAAAGGCACAGACGAAGAAGAGAGCCAGACTGAGACAGGAATCACACGGGTGTCGGATGTCGGACCTAAAGATGCAATAGATTAGTTAGCAGTCGCCGTGTTTAGTCAGGAGGGGGTGCAACATAGAATGTGGATTGCGCGATTTTGTGTACTGAACGAGGTCAGATGTCTGCTCGTACAAAGTTTAGCCAGCCGCAATCTATTCCAGATTGTTGTGTGGGAGACAAACTGTCGTCGATGGCGTGCGATATTGTGTGATTCGAAGAGGAAGAGGGGGTCAGTTGGGACTGTTATCTTTGGAGCAAGAAGGGCTGCCGATTGCGCTATGGCTATTCGAACTTGCGAGTCCAGCAGAGCCAGTCGGCAGTCGTATTCGCAAGAAAGTGTCGAACGGGCCATCATATTACGTGCTGCGGCATAAACGTATAAGTACTGCCTCGACCGACAGGGAAACGCAACCAGTCATGGCGCCCGTTGCAACCGAAACCGTAGCCAGCACTCGTGCTCCCGCCCACCCCGTCATCAAGCCCATTTCTGGCCCGTTGGCGACTAGACCGGAGTATCCAGAGGAGAGCGAAACGTTCAAGCGTCCGCCCGAGAACACCCTCAGACGTTACGAGCGTGCGGGCATCGATATCTCCCGTAAGCCGCCCTCTCTTCATGTCGAATCGAGGTTGAACCTCTGCAGAGGGCTACCCGTACCTCCCGAACAAACCCGAGTTTGTTCAGGATGTCGAGAAGCTCCAGACCAATCTGCGAGCATACAACGATCCCGCTAGCCGTGCCGATCCCGAGAAGAAGGCACTCTTCGGCGCCGCCAAGGAGGTCCGGGATTTGTCGATCCACATCGGAGTGAGGGAGACTATCTCGAGTGCGACGTCTCGATTAACGTTGTACAGACTGAGATCGTGGGTTTGCAACTCGAGGATTTGAACGAGAAGCAAAAGGACGAGCTTGCACTCCTTATCGCGTGAGTCCCATCCAATGAAGATCTATCTCGGCGCTAAATGTCGTTCAGGGAACGCTCGGTCGTCTGTGAGTCGATGCTGACTCACCTTTCAGCTCGTGCTCTTACTGATACATCGCAGTCTTCCGTGATCAACAACTGGCGCCTCAGAAGCAACGCGAGCTCGGAGTGTATCTCGGGGATGGTGAAATCGAGATTCACCCGCAAGTTCCCCAGGTCCCCGGCCTGCCTGGTGTGACGCTCATTTGGGAGCGTGCCCGTGAGTACCGGCTTTCGTCTCCCAGGACCTTCCGGACGGCATACCCATCCGGCAGCTACGGCTGTGAGTATCGTCATCAATACCCGAGTGGGAGAGCCAATGATTGAGTTTCCCCGTAAACAGGGCACACTGATCTCGTGCATCTCGCCTTCCCTCCCGGCTACACCCATCTCCACCAAGACACCGTCCCGCCGTGGGCGGAGACACGCTCTGGGCTTCGGGCTACGCTGCCTACGACAAGTTCTCGCCCAAGTTCCGCTCGCTGCTCGACGGCCTCAAGTGAGTGTCGATGATCGCCTGCTCCAACCTTCAGCTCACCAAGAGTGCTCGCAGTGGGATCTACCGCTCTGCGCACCAGTACAAGGACGCCAACGACGCGAGCGCGCCGCCTCGCCACGTCACCATCGTCCACCCTCTTGTCCGCACGCACCCTGTGACCGGCTGGAAGACGGTGTTCGCGAACCGCGCCATGACGGTTGGAATCGAGGGGCTCGATCAGGCAGAGAGCGACGCGATCCTCAACCACATCTTCGAGTGAGCCGCCCGCAAGTTCCAATCACATTCGAGCAGTACTGAATCGATCTGCAGCGTGTACGAGAAATCGACTGACATCCAGATCCGCTGGCAGTGGACGCCAGGAACCTCGGCTATGTGGGTCTCTCTCTTATCAATCGTATGCTTTTCTCACTTGAACAGCTGGGACAACCGCTCGACGATCCATACGGTCTCCTTCGATTACGAAAACAAGGAGGAGCGACACGGCACTCGGGTGAGCTCCTTGGGTGAGGTTCCGTTCTTCAATGGCGGGAGGTCGAGGAGAGAGGCATTGGGTCTGGATGCGTGATACGGTAATAGAACGGAGGGCAAGCGAGTCGAGTTGTTGTAGTTTGCCAGAGTCCACAGAGCAAGCAGTGAATGTAAACCAAGTTCTCACGTGTATACTGTTGATCAATGACCGTGACGGTCATAAGGATGAGATGATAAGATTCTCATTCGAAGCTCGGATTGCGGAATTCGAAGGTTGAATGATATCGTTTGAAATAGAAGCAGAGAATGCAACTACATTTCAGACTATGATTTGCGACCAACTTGTCGGGAGCACAGTCTCACGTCCGGTGTTCGCAGGTCCCATGCCGAGCCCTGTTGCGGGCCGATCGCAGGCCGGCTGGGCAGGATCGCTGGAAAGGAAACTCTGAACAACAGAATCAAAGGCAGCCAGATTGACCCCGATCGGGATCTCTTCATCTGATCCATACATCCACAGACCTACCAGACCTGCTCCTGAAAGAGAGTGATTCTCATGTGTCAGCCGACAGTGGGAAAGATGTGGGCTGGTCGCGGGGCAGCTCGAAGCTGGAGACTCAATGTGTAGTTAGTTTCTGAGTGGAGCCGGTGTCGAGGGCTCCTTCGTCGCTGTGCGAGTCGTGGTGAAAGTAGCGTCAGAGCTCATTACGTGCGACACACGGAAGCGTAGCCGAAACCCCACACGGGGTTCTCAGGGGCAGACGGAAACGCAATTCTCAGCGTCGCCTTCCCGCGGTGTTTATCATCGGGAGCTTCGATCCCGCAGCACGGACTGCCTGGCCACTGTTCACGTCATGCCGCTGCGAGAATTTACTATCAGATTAGATATTGATCAATCGTTTCACAGAAACGGAGATAGAACGGCCCACAGAACCGTCTTTCCAATATTTCTCCTTGATTTGGAAGAAGCCAGAAGATAAGTTTCGCTTGCTGAGAAAAGTTGGCTGGCGACACGATTGCATGCCTTTGAGCAGTTGGAGGGATGAGGATGCAAGCCACATGCTCCATATTCATGCCAAAGAGAGGCTTCATTCTAGATCAAACATTTTTCTAGTTCGAAAGCAAAACAAATGATTTGAAAAGGCTCAAAGGATCAAGGAACGAGACAGACGTCGTCCACACGTGATCATAACGATCACCTGACTATTGCTGATCGCGAACTGCGGTGATCCCTGCCTCAAACTGGTACTCGACCATCATGAAACCAAAGCAAAACTCGTTTTCGATCTAGCTGGACGAACTACTCATGAAACGGTAACTTGAACCGAATCGGTCGTAAAGACCACCGCGTGTTCCTGACAAAGTCGCAGGAATTGAGGCACCGTGACACGGATCTGAAGCAAAGCACGTACGTTGACTGTGGGCTGAACGACGTTCAATTGCGCGGTGCCTGTGACGTTTGCCGGGATCTTGACAGAGATGGTGTCATAGAGCTGACTACCCGCGGGACCCGATCCCTGGATGTGGAAAGTGGGGTTGAATTTGCCGTCGTACAAGACAGTTCCAACGTCGCTGGTCGTCGGTTTGACAGCGCCAGAGAGCAGGCTGATGACCACGGAAGCCTCGACGGAGCCGGGCTGCACGAGAGGCTGGGTGAATATGTGAGTGGGCAACTTAGCGTGGGGCGAACGTCTCAGCTCACTGCAAAGATGCGGACAGAAACGGTTGACCCGGCCGTCAGGACAGTGCCTGCGGTGGGAGACTGAATGGTTATGCCCTGCACGAAGGACGCGAATCCGAGCATCGCGGCAGAGAGCGTGGCGGTAGTGAATTTCATTTCGGGCTGAGGCTGATCGTCGTTTGAGTAGCGAATAGTCGATGGCTTTGGTGAGAGTCTTTTATACGAGGGATAGCGTCATAGACCTCATTCGAAACACTTGCAGTTTGAGACTGGACCCCTGCGTCTTGACATTCACTGGCATCGCATGACCGACCGCTAGGCTCGGTTCCGGGGGGACAATATTAATGTTCACGCCTTGATCTAAAATGCCTACCACCACTCAATTCATTTCGGCCGGTCAGTACGGCTGGGCCTAAGGAGGAATGAATCTTGGACTGATGTTGTCCAGGTATGCCGTACGAAAGCCCAGACAAGATGAGTATTGTATTCTGCCGGGTAACATTGTCTGCCGAGCCCACTATTTTTGGATTTGAGAGAATTGGATCGCTTACTCACGGCGCTTAATGCGCTGATATCGGTCAACACTTCGAGCAGATATCCGTCCGTCGGCACGAATGAAAAATACAGAAAAATACAGTGTTAGATCATTGGGAAATACGTGGCAGCGAGCCATCAGATCAATTGAGGTTATTCTTGTCTTGCCTCCCCCTGTATGTCCATGTGCCGTGGCATAAACAGCGCGTTAGTTATCTGGTGGCTTCAGAATCGTTGCTTATGGATTGTAGAGCCGTTAAATGACAAGGAAGGTTCTGCAAGCTGTTCTTTACTCCATTCTTGGTCATATCGAAGGCCACTGACGCTTGCCCGATACCTCGACCGAAGCACCTCCGCGGGACTGTTTATCGTTCGTGCATCCTTCTCGATGCCAATCCGAAGTATGTGTAGTATAAAACAAAGAGAGCCGCTGGACAAAATATATCTGCAAGCGTGGGCCTTATTCTTGTCGATGCCTCCATCTCTGCCTTCGAGTTCCTCGACCCCTGCGAGCGATCCAGTCGATGTCGATCATCGCAAGCGGTGCGGCTAGCTTCCCTTCGAGAATGCTGTCGAATATGCCTGCTAATCGAAAACACACCAGCCGGCGTAATCGGACGACCCATTCTTGTCTCAATTGCCACACCACGAAGCGCATGGTGGGTCTCCTCTAGTTTCAGCACGTGATGTCAGCGCTTAGATTGTCGCAGTGCGACCGGAAACGGCCTTGCTCTCGATGCACGCGCCTTGGTCTTGTGAGGACCTCCGGCCTGCGACGGCTGAGCTTTGTTCCGGCTGACGCTGTTTCGCAGACAGGGAATTGTGTCTATGAGATCGACGACCCAGAGGAGAGAGTGGTCAAGGTCGATCAAAAGACCCGAATGACTAATCGGATTGCTGAGCTCGAGGGGGTCATTCGCGAGGCGCGCATATTAAAACGGCGGAGCAAACAGCTATCTCATTAGAAAATCTAACTCAGTTGAAGCACAAGCCCCATCCTCGGTGGCTGTCCGGGAGATTATCAGCGGAAAGTGACGTGCAATCGACCCGTTCATACTCTCTCGGATCATCTTCCTCAGAAGGGCCGCCGCTCGCACCGTCCCCCAGATCTGGAGTTCCCGATGTTCCAGTGCCCTTGCATTTCCACAGGTACTGTAACAAAATGGAATACGGCTTGATTCTGATTCAATCATTCCACGCCACATCGCGCAGACTGGGACGGTGTGGATGTCTTGACAATCTCTCCTGCTACAATGCCGTGCTGGAGCTTTCGCTTGGGCTCCGCAACGCGACCGATGTTCTCGCTCGCTCATCGAACCACAGCGGAGACCAAGGCTGTGCGTTAACCGTGTGTATTTCGGAAATGGACGATATGCTCAAGTGAGTCGGTTATATTTGTTGCATGCGCAACTCTATCAACAGAGTAGGAACTCGCTGCTCGGCGATAACCCTTCACCGATGGTTGAACAGCAGTATGATCCCCTCTACTATGATCGCTCGATGATTGATCCCAGCAATTCGTTGGGATGGGACCACTTTACGAACGAGGATTTTATGTCTTGGTCACAAGGAGGCTCGTTTAGTGGTGGTAGATAGAGAGCACCCGTTTCATGTTTTCATACAGCAGATCTAGATAGATTGAGCAGTTTTTGATTGCTTTGAGCATTTGTTTATGCGTACTTCAATTGCCTGATTAGGAATATTGATGGGCATGTGTCACGCGGCCTCAATACTAGGTTTCGAACGATGGCTAAAGGACACAGAGACTTGATAGCTGGTTAGTTCTGGCGTGCCGAGATTTTTCAACCTGGGTTGAATATCACAAATATCGTGACCAAGCAAATATCAACAAGGGGCAAAGACTCCGAACGAGCAAAAGTTACCCAGTCTACAGGCGGCGCGGCCGCCTTGCCCGAACCCGCAACCAGCTTCGACATGCGGGTAGATCAATGTGCTCCGAGCGCAGGATTCGGACTTTCATCATTCACAGTACGGCCATTGGTCGGAAGCAACGTCCGGTTCGGTGAAATGTGAAATGGAACTCCATTGAGATGGCTCCAACACACAGGCGGTGTTGTTCCCGCTTGCCTGTCTCTCTCTTACAGATCTTCCCGTCCCGTGATATCTGCTTTGGCTGTTGTGGGATGTCAGAGCTGCTGCTATCCTCTCCACTTGGTTTACTCCCTGGGGCTTCGTCCGCCTGCTCTTGCTGACATGCTGTCAAGATTTGGGGTCCTCCTGCGCCTTCCTCGTTTAGGAGGCTGATATGCATTGAGGGGCGACCCAATAAAATCAAGGGCCTGCTTGGTGCTATAACAGAGCTCAGTGGGGTGCTTCCGGGTTCGAGTGCCAAGCCAGATACGTTCATTGCTGAACGTGACGTGCAAGTGCAAAAGTTTTTGATCCGTGGTCTACGCACCGAGCTCTGCTGTTCCGCAACGCGGCGAATTGATCCATCCATCTGATTCCTACAGGGATATGGCCCTTATACTTGCCAATCACTTCGTCCATTGACGTCAGCTACACTTTCGAATGCAGACACATACTTAAGAGAGATCGAATTTGAGATATCATGTTACATCACTTATTGGCAGTCTTTGAAGAGAGCAGAAGGAAACAACGGAAGTAAGAGAGGGTTCAAACGTTGGATCTTATGCAACGAGTAGCATTAGGCAGAGCGAGAGACCAGAACCTGATGGCGCAGTTTTACAAGGTAAATGGTAATTGGTCGATGCACGCCTGGATCTGGGGGAGAATCACGTCCCGTTCATACAGAAGACGCCCGCAATTGAGTGCTGAACACTTTGCGCTCCAACACGCAAGCGCCTCGCGCCATTCTTCCACTGCGAAGCCGACGATGGTGTCCCCAAGTGGGCGCTTGTCCATCTCCATGAATATCTAGGGCGGTTGAGCATTCAAAGGGAAGTATGACTAGATAACAGCACCTACCCTCGTCCGATATTCCTTCCACAGGTAATTGTCTGCTTGCGTCCCACACCCTTTACACCGACCACACACATCCCCCCGCTTCACCCCACCATCGCCCTCCGCATCCCCACTGATCAGCCGATCAAGCACATCCCGCCGCCGGCGGTGCAGATGCAACAGCCGCAACAGCGCAGAGGCCGGCAAGCGCTTCAAGACCTCTCCGTTCTCGTTTCGGCCCGGAGCGTGACTAAATGTGTCGCTGTACAGATCCAGCGCAAGCGTGTGCCTCGCCGCCTCGGCCGCCTCGCACTCCCACCCTGCGCACACCGCGAGAGCGTACAGAAGAAGCGGCTGCGCGCGCAGGCACCGCGAGGCCGACGCGAAGGGCCGCAGACGCGCTATCACGCCTGGGGCAGACCACAGGCGTGCGAGGTCAAGGAGATCCGTCAGCGTCTGTGCGTCGTCCATGCTCCTGATGCCCTTGCCGTCGTCGGTGGTGTCCTCGGTTTTGAGCGGCGGCGGCAGGCCGCAGAGCAGGGCGAGCATACATGCTAGGAGGCCGGCCGAGACGTCGAGTGCGATGAACTCGTCGTGGAGCGCAGCGTGCCGAGCAACTGGCGGCTGTAGCGTGGCTGCGAAATGCCCTGTTGTGCGCCGCAGGACGAATCCCGGGACGCGAAAGAGGGTGCCTTCCCGTGCGCGGAGGATGGTGTCGCATGTGGGGTCATCGAAGAGCGGGTGGTAGTGTGGTTTGGACTCCATTGTCGAGACGGAGTGAGCACAGACTCGGTGAATGGAAGGCAAGTGCCTGCTGGTCTTTGCATGTTCGGGCCATCACCATGAGGCAGGGGTTGGAGAGCGAAGACAAGTACAGAAGTCGGCCGATGCCGACATTTGATCGAGAGCGTAAGTAAGTTAGAGTAATCTGCACAACATATTCTAAGAGTACGGGGAGGGTATACGTGCACCGACAGCGCCCTCGATCGTAGCTGCCTCCGCAAGCAACGATGTCGGAGGGTTCCGGCCATCGCTATCGACACTGCTACTTTCCGCGTCCGTCTCCCGACCACGGTTCAGATATCCCAGCTTTCTCCCGATGGCCCCAAAGTCAATTGCACCGCCTAGCGAACGTCCCAGCAGAAGAGGACTCCGGGGCTGTTCGGATCGCGGCGAAAGCTGAGCGTGCGACGCTCTCCGGGTCAGCGACGGTAGGCGAGACGACGGGACGGGCGATGGCGGGCTGGGTTGCTGCTGTTGGATCTTTTGTTTGAGGACTGGTGATGACGGCATGTGCCTGAGCGCCGATTTGGGCGGTCGGGGAGGGGTCGCGGTGCTGGCCACATTGGAGGACCGAAGCGGAGTAGGCGGAACTAATAACGGCGGGACCGGGGGAGGAGGCGAAGGAGAATGCTGCTGAGCGAGGCTGGCAAGGGAAGAACGGCGGCTGATCGTAAATCGTGGTGATATTGGGGACTGGGGCGCCAACAATTGGTTTTTCTGATTCTTGGACGAGCTCGGAATCTTGCGAGTCACCGGCGAGTTAAGTATCGTGGCACGAGGATCATGTCCAGGCTGGGGCGTGCTCGAAGGTGACGGCGAAGAGGCTGCCGTCGGCGCCGCAGCAGTCAGTGGGCTTGGACGTTTCTTCATCAGTTTTCCTGGGATTGCCGCTCCACGCAGTGGAATAGACGGCGGGGGACTGCGAGCACCCCATGGCCGACGCGATCCGAGTTTCGCACGGGCGTCGGCCACTGAGGAGAACGGCAAGTCCAGGCGTGACCCGAACGTCGGCGTGCCGCATCGACTGCCGGCCCTCTCTGCGAGGATCTCGAGCGGAGGATCGCTCTGTTTCTCGTCTCTGGGTTTGGAGTCGAAGAACGCCGAGCCGCTCCCAGCACGAGCCCGGCGTTGCGCAGGTATCGGGACAGCGACTGGCACAGCCACGATGTGACCGAAGAGCCATCCAGGTGGCCGATTCACGCGCACAACTTGCCAGCCGGCCGATAGCGCTAGGGCTACTATCTCCCTCAGAGTCCGCTCCTTGCCGTTGAACATCACTTGCATCTGCGGCCCTTCAGTGGACATCCCGGGCAACAATTGCAGTCACACACCGTCAAGTCCATCCAATACCCATTCGCACTGGCTTTGCCCAGGTTCGCAAGAAGGGGCGCAGGAGCCATCATCGTCAGGTTCTCTGCGCCTTCGACGTCCCTACCATCCGCTACGTTGAAATCGTCCACACAAGCGAGGGGCAGCACGAAATCACCCAACACGAGCTTCGTATCGGGTGTGGCTGCCTCTCTAAGCCGGAGCAGAATCCGCTGAGCGAAAGCGTCTGGCCAGTCATGAAGCACAACCCGCAGAAAGAACACGGCAGCGTTCGTTATCGGTTGGGGTGTGAAGAAGTCGTGTACTGTTGACCGTGAGCAGGAGCGAATACGGATATTGGGGAAAACATGTACCTTGGAATCGCACCGCACCTGAATCCAACAATTCAGGACACTTGTCGCGCCAAGCCTGGTGCCAAACATTCAGGTGAGGGATTCAAATGAGCACAGATCGTTCAACGCCGCACCTTTTCACCCATCGCAACAACGAACGGCCTGTCCTGGATCACGAACTCAAAGTCTGACTTCTCCTCGCCATCAGCGCCCGCAAACGCAGTCGCAAGCAACATGGTCGTCGAACCGATCCCACCACCAACATCGACGACGACGCTGCCTCGGGGCAGCGAACCCCAGTCAAAGCCCTGGAACACCGAGCCAGGGGATTCCCAGCTCGCCGTCCCGGCCATCGCTTTGCCAAAGCGCTCCAGACGGAAACTGTTTGGATTCGGACGGGGCTCTGATGGCGCTGGTGTTGTCTGGGCCTGCGCAAGAGCTTTAACGTCGACGCTGCTCTTTCGGGAGTGACCGGAAAGACTCTTTAGTCTCATTCTCGCGTGCTGCAGAGGGGCAATCGGCACAGGGGGTGGTGGTGGTGGACTGGCACTAGGGTTAGGACGACCGGCCAATCCCTCTCCTTCCAGCCATCCAAAGTACCCGATGCCCTCACACCCAAAGGCCAGATTAAACGGTGCCCGTGTCGGGCTCTCGCCAGCGATATTGAGCCCGGCACCGACGCCTGTGCCTTCCGTGCCACTGGGGGTTGGTCGGCATGCGGAGAGAGCGGGGAGCACCCGCTGAGCGCCAGGGAGGACTGCTTCCATGAGATACGCGCTGGACTTGTGCAGCTCATCGGTGCTAGGTCTGTGTCAGGCGTGGCAAGTATGGCGGACGGATGCGATGCGCCCGTACCACATCCCAACAAAGGCTGCAATCCCGCTGGTTTCTCCATCGCCATCGTACTTGCGTTCCGGACTGCTCGTTTCATCGTCAGAATTGTAAGACAAGTTCCAAGAAAAGGTGCAAGACAAGGCTGTGGCAAAGAAAGAGCCACCGCGAGTTCCGGGACCGAAACTCATGGAAGGAAAGCTCTTTAGCCGTGAATGCATTCGAGAAGCTGTCTCGGCGATTCAAAGGTTCCCCGAAGGATTCGAGCGCTAGAAGCAAAGAGCTTCTGATCGGGAGGAAGTCAAATAAGATCCCCAGTACAGCAGTCCAAAATCCTTGCAATTCGAAAGAGAGAGAAAGACCAGCACACGTACTGCGACAATAGATCCTTGAGGTCCTTCCCGGTATCGATGAGCGAACTGATGCGGTTAGTAGCGAAGACATTCGGTGCTGTTTCGCGGACAATGTGATGGGTGGCTAGGAGCCTCAGTATATGCGCTACAGAACCCAGAGCTCGCGTCAGCATCATAGCCAGGAGAGATGCAGCGCGCAGAACTGACCCATCCTTCCGTCTGTGGCACCGACTGCGCTCTCGATCTCCTCAACTTTGACCCCCTCCTCCTTGTCCCTCAAAATCTCGGCAACATGGGCGCCTTCGAAGACCCGCAAACAGCTGGGGAGGTTGTAGCCCATGCTGGCGTCGCACAGCGATAGAAACGGGTGTTGAACAGAGGCAGCAAGTTGAGAGGATGCTGATACAATGCGCGAACACGCAGCTGCGACCAGGGGATGTGCGGTGAGTTGCTCGGATGGCGAGGTGGGTGTATAGGGCTTGTGGAGGGAGGGAAAGTTAGGGTAGGAGTCGGGAGTGGACGCCGGTGAGGTGTTCAGACTCGGTGCTGGTGTGCGTATAGGACGGCCCGGGCCCGGAGACGGCGGTGGACTAGCATAAACACGCGATGCTGTCTTTCTATGCCCGTTCAATGGTAACGGCCCCTCTGGAACGCGACCAGAGGTATCTTCTTGTTCATGATCATCCTGATCGTCTGGGGCAAGACGCTGCGCGAGAACCTGTGTGACCGACTTTCCCTGTGCCAACTCCCGCCCAGCAAGCACGTAGACGCGTTCTATCTCGTCGAGCGCGTTGCCAACTATCTCGTGCAAAGCACGCAGCTCGGCAAAGGTCATCGTTCAGCAGAGTATAAGCTTCGCGTCGATAGCGAATGGGAATGGAGGCAAAGCACGGGGAGAAAGAGAGGTGTATGGTCGCGATGGTAGGAGCACGACTGACCCTGTGTCGAAATCAAGCTGGGACAGACCCACTCGGCCTAATGACTGAATCTAATCCATTCGGGTAGTCAATTTGCCTCTTTCATGCCGACATTTGACGCGTCTTCTGTTCCGCGTCAAGTGACTGCACTTGTTCGGGCCTGTAGTCGCTTTGTCCGATGGAAGGCGCATCGTGAAATATTTTTGAAGCGAAAGAGTCTGCCGAATTCCGAGAGTAGATAACGCGTGTGCGACTTGCGACATATAGTGTAGAGTTCAGTCGAGGCGGTCGAGGAATGGTTACGAGGTAGGTTTGTTTGGTCATGTGTTTCTGTATCGTAGGATTCCGGACATCCCAGATGATTCCGAGCTTCTCCGACCCCTTTTGAGGGTGCATTTCCTTGATCAGCTCGCTAAATTCCACCAAGAATTTGAGGAGCACGAACTATGACGACCGTCAAGGTGAGAGGAGATGTCTTCGACATGTGCATCACACTGTATAATGACTTTCCAACCAAGATCACGTGCAGGTTCAGTCGAAATCCGAGCAATAGGGACGATTGTCAATTTTGTGATACGAGACAGAACCAGTAAGTCGAAACTAAATATTGAGGGTGCATATTCCCGTCTTGGTATGGCCTATGCTTCACGCAACGGTTTGTGTAGCCGCAGGCTTGTTGCCGATGGTCCAGTGGTCATTGTCTAGGCTCTTCTGAGCATCAAGTTCAAAAATCAATAGTTGGAACGCACTGTAGTCAACGGGGCCCTTTAAAATGTGCGTTTATGAAACGAAATCGAAGAAAAGAACAACACTCACCAAAGCCCGATTTCCAACAGTCCAGTGGTCATTCGCTAACATCCTGTAAGATTGGAAATGAAAGGCTCTTCTTGATGTACATACAATCCTCCAGGTCTTGCCCGAGCGCTCTCCCAACGTTGGGCTTTTTGCCACCAATAGACCAGTCGGTGTTATCTAACTCACATTTAGGACATCCTGATTGTCAATTCGATCTGTACTGACCTGTGTCGACTGCAGCTGTAGTTCGAACACGCGATCAAATATTATCCAAGATCTGGTTTTAGAGAACTCACGTCCAGTTACTGCAGCGGTCGGTGCGGCGCGCTGAGGGCCGAAAATAGTTAGTGATGGGGAATTTGGCGCGCATAGCCAAGTTCAATACGAACAGCAGCGTCGCCGTGAACAGTCCAGCTGTCGTTGCCTTTATCGACCTGCAGATTTCGCGTCATAGCTAGCATCATTGCCCACGACGGCGCAAATAACGCACCAGATCGTTCTCGACTGCACGGTTTCCGACATGCCAGCCTTTGTTGTCATCTTCCACCTGGCAACATATTAGAAGGCGTCCTTTACCAGTGACGGGAGAAAGACATGCTCACCAGACGCGCGTATTTCTGGAACATTCAGTATATCAGGTCAGAGAATGCAGTGAATGGGCGGCTGCGCTCACATTCGATCCAGTGCCAAACAGAGGCATCGCACTGGCAGTCATGGCTGCGAAAACAGACATCAAAATCAGGGAGAAGTTGAAGGCGACCATTGTGATGAGTTCAAGCAGACCGGGAGCTCTGGATGAAGTGAGGCCTGAAGCCACACTCACCTCTCCTTTTATACTTGGAAAGGCATTCAGATCATTCATTCAGCTACAGATACCCCAGATTCGATGAACCATGTACTTTTCCTGAGAGAAAGTGCGGCGACTCGGATGGTAGAGGTCGGAGGCGTACTGAGGCCATTAGCGCACGAAGCATGAAGTGGTGGCGTCCGCTTGGCTCGATATATCTGGGCTGTTCTGCATCCGATACGTCGGGCAGCCAAGATGAAATAAGCAACGAAGCATTACTCTCATCGTTTTGGACTGGCTGGCTGCCGTGCCGTCTGTTCATTGGGAGGAGATTGGTCGGCTCGGGGACCCACCTACGACAAACTTCGTGACTGCCATCTGAGCGGTGGCCTTGATGCGGACCCTCAAACAGTGGAAGGGATTCCCTTTGGCATTCGTTGTTGCGCGGAGTCTAGGGATCCGCCAGAAAAGGTCATTCTGCTGTTGGTATCTTCTATCAGTCACATGATCCCGTTGAAAGACAGTCTGATTGGAGAATCCTCCGAATCGATCTCTACGTGATACTTTCATGGAATGCATTATCTACAGCTACATGTAGACGAAGGATTTCAATTCTTTGTCGCATGCGGGTGCTTTGATAGGGGTGTTGGACAGCGTCCTTGGTAGAGAGCAGTCGTCGTTCGAAGTCTCCTCAGCTGACCGGTTCCATATCATGCTGGTACATAGGGACCACGATATCATCGTCAATGCGCACGGTCGGATCGTACTTTTGCTTGACCATGCGCCCCAGTGCCCAATCCTGGATCTTGTTGAACTTCCGGCACGTGTGAGCCACATCGCCCCTGACGAGACTGCTGTTCGCCCAGTCCTTCCATTGCCAGCTGTGATGACAAAGAATGAGGGCGGAAAGCGAGGCACCGGATATGACGCTTACACAATCACACTAGTGTCCGCATGGCACATTAGGTCCTGGCGAATCCAGTCGAGACAGTGACCTGGGCGCGGAATTAGAGTGCATTTGGTGGCGCAGTCCCTAGCGATCACTCACCAACATGCTCGGTGGCGTTCCGCTGGCTTTCAATCCAATTGCCAGTGGTAGAGATGCGCCAGTCTGGGTAGTAGTCTGGATCCAGCTGCAAACAGTTGAGAAAACGAGGATCAACAGCAGTGCCCTCTTACCGCCATACGGATCTTATTCTGGGAAAGAATGGCTCAGAATTGAATGCATGAGCGAGATATGTCGCATACCAGACAGTGGAGATTGTGGAAGACGTTCAGTTCCGCGATCTGCACAGAATGAGACGCGAACGAAACCAGGTCGAAAGTCCTACATAGTGACCGTCGGGATCCCCAGGAATAGGATGTGTCTTGTTTGGAAGCTGGGCGGCCTCTTCTTTGGTGATCCAAGAGATACCAACTAGCAGTCGTCAATTCTCCATAGCAATCTCATTGAGTCCGGAAACGCACAGTTGTACAGATCCATCCAAGCCTCATCCAACTTCGGTGACGAAGGCTCCTGGAAGACTGCGGAAAGGTCGCCTGGTTGCAAAAAGTTGAGCACGCAATGCCCTGCACCAGGTTCTAGAGACCAACGTACCCGGGAATCCGACCCTGTACACTCGAACCTCGTTTTCGACGGCGCTGAGGGCCGGCGCTACAGCACTCGTTAGCCGAGCTTTCGTCTCAGCGTAGATGACGCTACCCACAATAAAGCGTATGCTGGTCCGGAACATTTACGCTACAGACCGGCAGTCGACGTCGGGAGAACAGCAGGAATAGTGCAACGGCGAGGGCGGTGAATTGTACGGCTATCAGCGTAAAGAGGATGGACCGGGATAGTTTCGAAGCCCAGTACGATGGAGCCCAGCGGTTCCTCGGGGGGCTGACAGCGTTGGAATCACTCTCGACATCGACCTCGTACACGGGGTCATCGCTCATTAGCGGCCTGTACTGCTCCTTGGACATCGTAGAGCGCGACGGAGAAAAGAGCAAAAGAGCAGGGGATGGAATCTGGGATCAGGGCGACAGACTCCAACGGATTATGCGCCGCCCAATCTTCTCGTCTTAATCCCCATTGGTTCACATCTAGAACAGAGTTCCAGGCTACAGTATTCACGATAGATTCGGGTGATAGACGTTTTGAAGGAAGTTCGTGGGCGCTTGGTGGCTGATCCCGCGAGGTCCATCTCAGATCGCCAGTAAGCCGTGTCACCTCAATCGGTCGAGCACGGAGATTGAGTGATACGTTATTCAAACAAGTCACAAGGATGGTCTCGCACACGTGACAACCATTTGGATCATTCGAACACGGCTGGGACGCGTTATTAGTCAGAGATGTCGTGCGTAATCAGTCAAGATATCCTTGATTGGGTGATAATCTTTCGCGATTAGCTTTCACTTCCTCTGTCCTGTATCAGCGAGGATTCGTCCACAGGTTGGATCACCCTCGCATATCAGCCAAGCACTCACCACGAGCAGCAGAACATAGATCGAACAGTGCTTCGAAACTATCTTATCAGTCGAACGATGCAAACTCGGATGACAGCTCCACTCGGGCAGGTTCAGCCTGCCCAGAATGCCAACACAACGTCAAGAATACCTCAGCTTGCGTGATCATCTATGCAGCAGGCATTCTCTCTGAGCGATCCTGCGGCCAAACTTGGCTGATAAAAGCCAGCGAGGGGAAGCAGGCCCCTCAGAGACACTCCGCCTCTTCACCCCATCATCCTCCGAAATGAAGTTCTCTGCTCTCCTCGCCCTCACTTTCGCTGCCGTGGCTATCGCTAGCCCCCTGGTGAGTGATCCTGCCAGCCAAGCTTTTCCACTGAGAGGATATCTAATTATTTTGGCAGCCGCGTCCGGTCGAGTCGCTTGACGGCAAGAATGACGGATGGACGATCGGTAGCAAGCCGGCTCAGTCTCGTCAGGTCGAGCCGCTTGAGAGCAAGAACGACGGATGGACCATCGGTGGCAAGCCTGCCCGCTCTGTTCAGTCTCGTCAGGCCGAACCTCTCGAAAGCAAGAACGACAAATGGTCCATCGGTGGCACGCCTGCCCAGTCTCGTCAGGTCGAGCCGCTTGATAATAAGAATGACGGTTGGACGATCGGAAAACCTGCTCAGTCTCGTCAGGTCGAACCGCTCGAGAGCAAGAACGACGGATGGACCATCGGTGGCAAGCCTGCTCGCTCTGTTCAGTCTCGTCAGGTCGAGCCGCTCGAAAGCCAGAACGACAAATGGTCCATCGGTGGCACGCCTGCTCAGTCTCGTCAGGCTGAATCCCTTGAGAGCAAGAACGACGGTTGGACCATCGGTAGCAAGCCTGCTCAGTCTCGTCAAGTCGAGCCTCTCGAGAGCAAGAATGACGGATGGACCATCGGTGGCAAGCCTGCCCAGGCCCGTTCAGTCGAGCCCCTCGACTCGACCAACACGAAGTGGACCATTGGGCAGAAACAGCAGCGCCAGGCCGAGCCGCTTGAAAGCAAGAACGACTCGTGGACCATCGGACACGTGAACAACGCGCGAACTGTGACCGACGTCGGCCATGCTGCCCGCTCCACATCCGTTGTGCGTTTCTTTGAAAGCTGCGCGAAATGCATTGGAAACTCACCCCGTTCCGCAGGCTCGTGCTCCCACTGTTGACACTGGTGTGTGACTTGATCTCACCAGTCTCTTCCTTCCAATCTCATCGCCCATCCACAGGAAACCACAACTGGGTATTTGACCACGGGAAATTCACCCCAGCCCCCGTAAGTCGTATTTGGCGTTTCGTGCTGCATGGCTGATGTCAAATCGTAGCAGTAAATGTCCTATCATCTGTAGTTTTACAACACGTCTGCGATGTATGAACTCACGGATGCATGAATTTGATTGGGCCTTGCGCCCACGTGTAAATGAAATCAGCTCGTTCGACATTCAGCACAGAAGATGAGTCGAAAACGTGCCTGACATTATCATTGAGAAAAGCGTTGCCCGTTGAGCGCGTGACCATGGTTCTATTCAGAGCTTCATCAAGAATCTATATGTATATAATATTGCTATATGGTTCTGGACGGATGCGATAAGTTAAGATTAAATACAACAGACTCCATGTGCAGAGCTATGATACAATGTTAGATTCCCCACAGCGACATACCTCACCCTAATCTTTTCTCGACGACTGCCTTCACAGCATCCACGACGGACTGGACATTGACCCGTTTCGATACCCCAACGTTGACATATTCCAGGCCCATCATATGGGCCATGTTGTGAAAATGCTCGTTCTGTGAAATCGGTGTTAGACCAGAACATGGAGCGACACAGGACTTACACCGCGGACCCCACCAGGAACCAGCTCGATGACTGAAGCGCGGCCGGTAGGCATGAACAGAGTCAGTCCCAGCGCACCGGCATGGACGCTGACCACGACGTCTGTCCTTCCGATCATGCCAAGCTGAGAGGCCAGAGCGGTCGTTGTGGGATCAAGAGTGGCAAAACGCAGCGCTTTGCCGCCGGTGTGAGTCGAATTCCCGTCGTTGCCCAGAGCAAAGGCCTCGCGAGGATGCAGTGGCACGCCCCAAGACCCGGGAAGACCATCTGCATTGGTGAACGTACAGTCGAGTGTCCCAGGATGATGCGTGAGGTGAGAACCTGACAGACGTATTGAGCGAACGGACAGAACACGCGCTGGACAGACAGACACACCTGACACTGCGGTGAGCTTTGAACACATATCAGCCAGCCCAGAACGCAAGCCAACAACTAGATCGGCCTCGTTGAGGATATGCCGAGCATCCGACCACGTTGAAAGGCCCCCGTTTCGATGACTAGTAAATTTGCATGAGAGGGTCAGAAGGAAATGGTTGAGAACGATCGCCTCACAGAGTAGCATCATCGAATTTCTCCCGAGACAGGAACAGGACATTGACGAATTCGGAAGAGCCAAGTGCTCGCTCCTCCAAGGCAGGCTGGGCGGAAACCTTTTCATCTCCAGGCAGAACAGGCTCCAACCCCCAGACCCATCGAAGCCACAAACTGGCACCCCAGACAAGCTCGCTTGCGCATTTGTATTTCAGGCCGACTTTGGTCCCGCTGAGCAGCGAAGCACCAGCACCGACGGAGTGGAATGCCTGAGAGAAGCATGTCGGAGCTGATCCACACCATTAACAGGGGACACGATGCCAGCCAGCAAAAGCCTTACCTCCGCCGTGTCCCAGCGCATCTGCTGCCGTTCGCCTCGCCGTCCAAGCACCGATGCGATCGTACAGGGGGGCGAATAAAGACTCCGTAGGTAGCTGAGAATCTTGGAATACGAGTTGCAGTCCGGCTGTAGGCTCCAGATCAGCTTCTAGATCCTTCCTCAGCTTCCGGAACTGTTCGAGCGCTCCGCCTCTAATATACGCTCCAGGTAATGAGGACCAGAGTTCGTCCTCCACCGTTTGCGATCCAAACAGCGATTTAGGCTGGTAAGATTGCGCAGCATGGCGGGAGAATAGCGTGAGTGCCAGAAATGTGGTCACAAGATCTTCGCCAACGTGGAATGGGTTCCATCGATCCTGTCGAGGGACGAAGAGGACCGGGTGATCGACCGTTTCACCGCATGGCTGGTCCCCACCTTCGCCTGAGTGGAATTCCTTGCCCAAGAACATCTCCCTTTTCATATCTTTATCCAACGCGATACCGGCTTTTGTCAGCGCACACTGATCTCGTGCCCCGAAAACACCCCGGCCAGGAAGGTCTCCGCCCCATCCAGACGAATGCGTTAGATTGGATGAATGACAGAAAGACTGTGGGTATGGCCACCAGCGGTTTTGAGTGTCCTGGGGTGCCGCGGTACCCGCAGGGAAGCAGGTTATGAAAGGACTGCTCGCAGTCCGTCCTGATAACCGAGATTATAATTGGACACAAAGAGCCATGGCATGGTGCACGTACCAGACGGCTTACAGTACTCTACGGCGTTCTCCAAGTATCCGTCAATCATGGCTCCGCCCAGCTTTCCTTTGCATGTGTCTAGTCCACGAGCTTGGATCTCTGCTTGTGCCCGTGCCAAAAATAGACGGGAGTGTAACGTCGGGTGCGAATCGCGGAAGAATGGGCTGCTGTTCTCCTGTAATCTGTCCTGAGGCAAGGCGTAGTCCGTATTCCATAGACTGCCACTGCTACCGACGCCCCCACCGCCGCTAACCGTGTGGGCTCCATCTTGACCGCGAAACGGTGAAGCGAAGGCGATGCTCCATGAGTTTGGAGGAAAGACGAAGAAGACAAGGAGTATCGAGCTGAGGGTCAGCACAACAAGGAAGACAAGCGTCCGGCGTATTCGCGTCGGGGGGGAGGTGGGTGCAAGACGAGCAAGCAGCGCTTTGGTGCGCAGTGGGGGATACGTGGGCGGCGCAGATCCATTTTCGATGTCAGAAAGCGTAGTTGGGACAGGCGTGTAGGCTGTTGTGCTCATAACGGTAAAGGAGAGGGATGCGGCGCCGATGCGGCCGTGGGGGCTTGAGAAGATCGTTCACGATTTATGTACCATGCAAAAAGTACGTGTGCAGCTGCGGATGTTCCGGAAATCACGGTCACGCACACCGGGCGTTGCCCACGAACAGGCATGACACTCATCAGAGGACATTCTTTTCCTCAGCCTTTGCAACGGGCATGGATGCGTGTCACGAGGATGTTCAAAACAATAGTACTGGTATCCTCGAATGAAAAATGCTTTGTTCGATGGTTAGCTCAAGCGATTAGGCTCAATCGCGACTCTGCCGAAACTATTTGCGGGTAGTGACCAAGGGTTCTGTAACTGCATCAGGTATTGAGATCAGATACTCAGCCCGTCGTGGATGGTGATGGATCATGTTCCAATGCCTCGTATACTGTACGTAGTCGTAGTCATAGAGTGCTTTCTACGCGATGATCTCCCGCGAACTGGCTCGCGCTTGTTGAGGTGACCCTGACGTCATTTGTAGAGTGACGTTCCCACGTGATAGCATTTATAACGCTTCGCGCACGGTCATAGTGAGCATGCTCTCTTCCCTATCGCGACTTCTCTTTGGATCATCACCCACTCCGGAAAGCATCATGTCCGTGAAACACCTCGTCGAAGTGCACACCTACTCTGCCCGTCCCGACTGCACTTGTAACACTTTGCACGCAATAGGATGCCATTACCACCAACAAGATTATGATCTTTTCGAAGACGACCTGTCCGTATTGCCGACGCGCTAAAGCACTTTTCACCGAGAAGTTTCCCGAGGAATCCCCCGTCGTATTCGAGTACGTGATTCCTCCGACGCTGCGATGGACGATCGCCTATGGTTTTCCAGATTGAATGAACGCGAGGACGGTGCCGATATTCAAGCGTATCTGCTGCAGAAGACCGGGCAACGAACCGTTCCGAATATCTTCATTAGTGGGTCTCTCGGTACCCACCGTCGGCTGTGCTCTAATCATGTTCCAAGACGAGAACCATGTTGGCGGTAACGATGACACACAGACGGCATTCAAATCAGGAGAGTTGAAGCGTCTTATCGATGCATGATATATGCGTTGAATCCGATTGGGGTGTACAATGAAGGTTTTCGAACGGACGACTAAATGCGTCTTAATATCATCTGAGCGTCGCTCATGTCTGTGAGAGATTCGAAATAATTGTCGATCTCACGAGAGCAGAACGTTTCTGCATCTTCTGGAACCACACCGTTCGCGAAGTACTCGCTAATAAGCCGGATCGCGCATTGGGTTGTTGGTGCGAGATAAGAATGTCCTAGTACCATATCAGATTGAGCCCGGATATGGAAGTATGTGTATTCACCCGGCACGTCTTGAAGTACAAGACGGCTCGAAGCTCCCATCGTGTTCTGCACGATCTTCGCACTTGAGTATGGAGTGATTGGATCGTCTGTTATCTCGAGAATAAGCTCGTGTGTGACATGCATAAGCAACACTCACGCGTATTGGCGAGCAACAGTGCGGGTGTCGTCAAGGTTTTCTGGATGGTGCCAGTCGAGTCAAAAATGGGAAATGATGCAAGCATTGACTGACATTAAACGGTCCCTAGAACTAGTCAGTATGGCCCTAGATATCCCATGCACTTGACATTACCCTGTAGCGTGCAGGGCCTACACCAGTCCCTGCCCAGTACTGACAACCTCCGTGCTGTTCCATGAGATGGACTCTGGAGAGAGTTGTCAATCGGAATGTGAAGTACCGGAGCCACTTACGTGCCGCCGAACCGAGGCCAAGTTTCCATCGTCACGAGGACGTTGTCGACAATCTCTTCTGCTGTAGGCCAGGTTTTGTTTCCTCCTGGATAGGGCAACGCGTCTCCACATGACAAAATCAATCGCCACAAATCGCCTTGACCTGTTTCGATGTATCCTTCCTGGTCCGGCTCAGGACTCGGAGGAGAGTACGGAGGAGCTACGAGGAGTAGCAACTGAGAAGCATCGGAATCGTACATGGCACTCGCGAGCATTTCCGCATACAGACCCCATAGGCGGGGTATTTGGAGTGCTGTGAAGAGCGAACCTAAGAAGAGATGTTGATAAGCAAGTGTCAGGGTGCCAATGACAGAATGCCGACTTCGAATATGGCCTGAGGTCAAGGAAAGCACGCGATCGTAGTTGACCACTGGCATGGGATCTTCTTGCAAACGGTCTAAGAATCGGTCGATGCGGTCCCCGATGTCGCTTGGTCCTGCATCTGCGGACAATACCAACGAACAACGCTGCGGTCCTGCAACAAAACACTCGGAGAGAAAATACTGATATGTTTTCCTGCGCGATGTAGGCAAAAGAACTTCCTTGCGGAAAGTCACCTACTCGGAGTCCCCTAGTAAGACACGCAAAAGAGTTTGCGATTCATAATGGTCGTTCGCCCACCTGGGCAAACTTCAGTGGCTGTTCAAGCTTCGTAGTGGAAGATAACGTGCATGTCGGCAGGTACAACACCGTCAATGAGAACCTTGCCCGTTTTGTGAGGGAGCATGTTTGCGAGGTAGGCTCCGACGATAGACCCTTGGGGATGGATCAATCCCGCACGAAAGGACGGCACGACAGCGAACATACCGTAAGACTGGAAGAATCAGGCAAAGAAGCAACTTTCAAGATCGAGACTTACACCTCCCCACTATTCGACTCTGAGTCAGTCACAGCAGGTTCGAAGTGTAAGACACTTGCAAAGTTGATCAAGGCGTTCTCTCCCTCCAGTATCCGGGATATTTCTTCCATGTCGTACACGGTTGTCGTCGTACTCATGAATCCCAGTGCTTCTCCACCGATGGCGTTTTCGCACATGAGCCCTTGGGTCCGCTCCAGAGCAAGAGCGGCTCTCTGCTGCTCAATCAATATCGCACGACCCTCTGAAGAGAAAGGGTCCTCGGGGATGAGGAAGGTCGTCTCAAGAACAGTGTTGGCTTTGAACGTCTCATAGCCCAAAGCTGAGCCAAAACAGTTCAGTTTAGGGAGAGAGTGGCCGTGTCCTCGCTGATCAAACGAGATGATATCATAACGGTTTCCAGTCAGCTCTTGAAGCATGGGTCCCAATTGGAAGGAAGAAGCTCTCCCTGAGACCCCCGGGCCACCGTACTAAGAATAAAAGTAAGAGAATGGCGGAGTGGAGTATGCATGCGACAAACATTGGTCATGACAATACCCAGTCTTTCGGAAGGCGGGCAGGAGGTCGGGTACTTTGTCACGGCGAGAATGTGGCTTCCAGCCTCGCGATTCTCATAGTCAGTCGGAACTCTGCTGAACAGTTTATCGATCTTTACAGTTGCACGGTCGAGCACGCACTCCAGGTATCCACAAAAGAAGGCCGCATTCTCTTTGCACCGCGTCCAAGCAATTGGTCCCTCGTCCTATGAACACGAGTTTACCTGATCAACTCTCGGATGGATCCAGGTCATACTTTGGGGAAGCTCAGATGCGGTGAATCTAAGCAAATGAGAGTCCAAGAGACAATCCCAACAGCAGCAATGAATAGAAGCAGGGACTGCGTCCGTGTTGGAAGCATCGTTCCAGCGTAGACAGTGATGGTATTGGTGACTTGGTGTATTGAAAAGTCTTGCCTTGGGAGTCACGTCAGATCCCAGATGCAGTGGACAGGACGGCGCTGGATGACCGTGACTGAGTAGATTCGCTGCGCAGATCTTCGCTTAGTAGCGACGATTCACTGAGCGGCAAAGGCCGTAATCAAGGAAACTCTGATCATGAACAACCACAACAATCACAAACGCCTATTATGGACTCAGTGCCGCCGCTCATGGCGACGAACACGCGGGATCGGATAGTCAAGACGGTACGTGCGACAGCGATCCTGTAATACATCTCTTGTGTAGGACACATCTGACGACCGCAGCCAGGTCCCAGAACCCGCTACGCAACGTCTCTCCGACGCCGAGTTCTTTGCACACGATGAATTCGGTGGCACGAAACCGAACGCACGCGTTCTGCGGGACCATTTCTTCCGGGAGGGTCGATTAACGGAAGATCATGCGCTATACATCCTCGAGCACGCGACAACACTGCTCCGCAAAGAGCCGAACATGGTGGAGGTGCAGGGTCCGGTTACGATTTGCGGAGATATCCATGGGCAATATGTACGCCTGCATTCATCTTGATCTTCGATCTTCTGTCATTCATTCACTCCAGTATGATCTCATGAAACTTTTCGATGTGGGCGGCCCGCTCACAGACAACTCTTACATCTTCCTCGGCGACTATGTGGACAGAGGGTCCTTCGGGATCGAATGTTTGCTATACCTATATACCCTCAAACTCTGGTTCCCTCACAAATTCACTCTCCTCCGCGGCAATCACGAATGCCGTCAACTGACCGAGTACTTCACGTTCAAGCGCGAATGCTTGCACAAGTACTCTGAGCGCGTGTACGACGCCTGCGTTGCCTCTTTTTGCGCCCTACCCATAACAGCGCTAGTTGATGGGCGATTCTTCTGTGTGCACGGAGGTCTCTCCCCCGAACTCGGCCTGTTGTCCGACATCGCCAACGTGAATCGTTTCTCAGAGCCGGGATCGCGGGGACTGCTGTGTGACCTGCTGTGGAGCGATCCTATAGCCAATTTCGGACACGAAGACCCGCGAGAGGTACCTCCTGGCACCACCTTCACGCATAATGCGACACGGGGTTGCTCTTACTTCTTCACATACGAAGCTGCCTGCCAATTCTTGGAGCGAAATGGGTTGTTGGGCATTATCAGAGGTCACGAAGCACAGGATGCAGGGTGGGTCGCTGTTTAATTTCCATTCGCTGATGAGAGCTGAACAGCTGGTAGCTATACAATGCATCGCAAGACACCGACAAAGAAATTTCCCTCTGTCATCACTGTGTTCTCTGCTCCGAACTACCTGGACGTGTATCACAACCGGGGCGCCATACTAAAATACGCCAACAAGAACTTGACTATCCGGCAGTACAACTCGTCTCCCCACCCATACTGGTTGCCGAATTTCCAAAATGCTTTCACATGGAGTCTTCCATTCGTCGGTGCCAAAAGTCGGTCTCCCTGTGCTAATACGCGAATGCTGTCTGATCTTTACTAGTTACGGAAATGCTGTTGGCTGTCCTTTCTGTGTGCTCTGAAGAAGAGCTGGAGATGGAATCATCGGACGAGGAAGAAACTCCTGAGACGAATAACGACGAAGAAATGCGCACGGCGCGAACTCTCGGAATTAGCACGCCTGCCGAGGCTGCCCGACGACGACAAGAGATCAAGAACAAAATTATCGCTGTGGGTCGGATGCAAAGGGTGTTCCAACTACTTCGGTACGCGATTGTCCTGACATCACGTGGCCGCATTGATGGATTGCCTTCAGAGAGGAAGCCGAGTCTGCATCTGAGCTGGTCGATGCCGAGGCTGGCGAGGCTGGAGTGTTGGAGGGACTGAACGTGCAGGGAGTGGTCAGAAACAATATCCATAACTTTGAAGACGCGTCAGTTTCATTCATTCCGAGTTTTGACGCATACTCACTCCTCGTAGTCGACGCTCAGATCTCCTAAACGAGCGTCTTCCCACATTCCCCTCTTTATCTTTGCCTGCTACGCCCATCGACCTCGTACCGAGCGGGCCACCCACGCCGACCGGACCCTCTCCTCTTGTACCGTCTATGCGGATACCAGGCAGAGACGAAGGGCTTAACATGGAGTTCCTTATCCGGCAGACCTTGCAGGACGGGTCCAGCGCAGGCGACGATATCGAGCGCCTGGCTGATCGGATCGCGTTTCGCAACAGGCGGCCTGGAGGTGCACTAAAGCGCAACGAGACAATATAATATCTATCTCCATCGTCTCATATGTAGCTCCTTCATCATGTTGACTGGCTGTAGTGTATCTCGAGAAACGATATGTAATTGTATGTTGCTGATGACGTAATCAGAAAACCCCTTTGTTCTTGTCGTTTACTTCTCAAGACGCGCCACAGATGGATGTTGACACAGACAGCTCTGTAAAGACGCGTCTTCGGCTTGCGGAGGGCAGGAGCTCACACCGCCACAGAGCGGAAACGATTGGGTGCGAGTGACGAGTGAGGACGGGCATTCTTTTCTCGTGCGACGCAAAATCGCCGAAGTCAGCGAGACGATGCGAGATATGCTGGATAGCTCTGGTACGTGCGGACATATCCTACTCCTTCCAGGCACAGCTCATCAGCATCCAGGTGAATACGCGGAAGCCAAGACGAAGACCTGTCCGGTCCAGCAGCGGTCTGTACCCTTTTCACGGCCATGTCCTTCAAGTGCCAATCGAGATTGTCCTCATACTAGAGCTGTGATCACGGAAAAGCTGCTGGAGTACATGGCATTCAAGGCACACTACGAACGCGCGGGCGCAAAGGAAGAGATTCCAGTGATGGAATTCACCGAACGTATACCGCCAGAGATTGTCCTGGAGCTGTGAGTCTTTGTTCTTCTGACGACGCCGCTGACTTGTTTGGGGAAACATAGTTTGCTGGCGGCTGACTATCAGAATAGTGAGTCTGAGTCTGCCCGTGTATCCGTCGTTGAACTCAACGATGACTTCCTCAGTGTAATCTTGTGTTCTACGTCTCATGTATGTCTTTTTGTATTTCGACCGGTCTCAATGCAGCGCGTGAAGTCGCGTTTTCGGAACCAAGTTGGCTAAATCGATTGCCGGTATCGCAGACTACCACTTGACACAGCAGGAGTCACCCTATGTAAATAGTACGCGACACTGTCTAATGCGCGTGACCGCAGTCATAACCAAACGCAGCCCGGACGACACTAGCTGCGCTCAGCTCAGAAAGATCAAGGAGCAGATCACGTTCGCTACGGCGGCGATTGAGAATTCAGCCAGGGATACTGATACCACTCACCTGATAGATCCGTCCTCTGCCTGGCGAGGCTCAGAAAGCTCGTTGCGGCGAGTCAGGCCGAGATTCGAGTCTGCGATCTGATCGAGCCAGTTCGCGAGACGATATCCACCCTTGGCAAGCTGCAATTGGACCGTGGGCGCCACCGAGTTGTAATACGTGGCTGGAAACAGGTTGAGCACAGGAATGCTTTAATTGTCACCGAGGAGAAACGTACGGAAGAGGTCCCCTTTCTGGAGGGCAGCAACTCCGTTGGGCATGACCACGCTGCAGACAAAGGTGTTGGCATCGCTTGCCCACTTGGTAGCAGACCCAACCGCGTCGGTGATGTCGTCGCCCGCGATCCAGCTTGCAGCCTGAGACGCATACATCCCCGAGGTGATCGCCGTGGTGATGTTCGCAGCCCACGCCTTCGCCACGGTCAGGGACGAGCCGCCGGCGATCTGTTCGGGGATGAAGGTGTCCCAGTCGGCGTGCAGGTTGTCGTTGAAGCCTTGGAACACGACGTTGATGGTGTTCCCGCCGACATCCAAGTTCTCGTCGTGGAGCGGCTGGGTGATGTCACCGAGGAAGTGAACGAGGAACATCAGCGCCTGATTCACGTTCGTGGCCGACAGTCGCCCGTCTTGGACTCGTTGCGTGTAATTCTGAATGGCTGCCAAGACCTTGGTGATGCTGGCAGACACAGACGCGGATGTATGCCTACCTGAGATCGAGCAGCCAGCCTTAGTGCAATCGCGCGAGAAGTTCACATTGCAACTTGTCGGCGGGCTGTCCAGTGCATCGATGAAGTGGAACGGAGCAGCTACAAGCGTCGTCAAGGCAGAGTCTCAAGCAGAGAGGCTGTTCATACAGAAAGAGCCGGCGGTAGTGGCGCGGAAGGTATCCGCCCACGAAGCGATGTTGGCTAGGTAAGACGTCGAGGTATCGCCGAGCACGCCCTTGGCCCAGGTCGCGGTAGTACTCTTGACAAAGTTCTGAGCTATAAACGGTGCATGAGTGGTTGCATCGGGGAACACAGACACCACGACGCTCACCGACGTACGCGACAGTCGCGTGGCCGAGCACGCCCCACGCCTGGGCAGCCGATACGTAAACGCCGAGGAGGACAGCTGAGAGGAGGAGATTCATCTGGCGTCGCGGTGGGTGGACCGCTCAGGAAGAGTGCCCTTTTGAGTGTATCTCACTGCTCGAAATAGGACTTTCTAAGAGTAGCAGGGACGAGAAGAAGATTGCTCCGCGTGCAACACGCCCTCGTGCGATAGCAATTCATCGAACCTTTGGTGATGGTTCACAGCAAGATGAAGAGGTAAACCTGATTGAGTATGTTGACAGCCACGTTTGTCAATGATTACAGACGTCCAAATACATTCTTGTACATTCTAACCGTGACAATCCGAGTACACTTCTAGTGCTCGTGGTCGCTGCATCCATAGCCAAACGCAGCGCGAACAGCAGTGGGGGGACCCATCATGGACAGGTCGAGGAGGAGATCCCGTTCGCTTTGTGCATATCAGTATTCTGGGCTTCACAGTGATCGATGAATGTCTTACCTGCGATCTTGGTCGGGAGTCCGGGGCTCAGAGAGGTCGTTGCGGCTCACGAGGCCGAGTTGCGCGTCGGCGATCTGGTCCAGCCAGTTCGCGAGACGGTATCCCGCCTTGGCGATTTGAAGCTGGATGGTGGGGAGCACAGAGTTGTAGTAGGTCGCTGGAGGGGTGTTTAGGAAAGCGACACGATTGAGGGAGGAAGCACTTGCGGTAGAGATCGCCGGTTTGGAGGGCGGCGACACCGTCGGGCATGACGGTGGAACAGACAAACGTGTTAGCGTCAGTAGCCCATCTGGTCGCACTGGCCACGGCACTGCTGATGCTGTCGCCCTTGATCCAGCTGGCGGCTTGGGAAGCATAAGCCCCGCTCTTGATGGCTGTGGTCAATGTAGTTGCCCACTTCCTCGAGTACGTGATGGTCGTGCCGCCGATGTACTTTTGAGGAATGTATCTATTGAAGACGTTTCAGGCAGTTCTGGAGGTGATCAACAGAGCGTACGCACGTATCCCAGTCCGCATGCAAGTTGTCACTCGCGAATCCATCGAATGTCACTTTGATTGTGTTTCCTCCCACGTCCAACGCCTCGTCGTGAAGGGGCTGGGTGATGTCCCCGATGAAATGGACGAGGAACATGAGCGCCTGGTTTACATTCGTCGCACTGAGTCGTCCATCTTGGATTCGCTATGAGCACGTCAGCATGCTTTCGCATGGCTTGTGCAACGAGTCGTACCGATGTGTAGTTCGCGATCGCTGGTTGTATACATTAGGCTCGTTCACAAGATCAAGGGTGGGCCGCCACTCACCAGAAATGGAGCACCCTGCAGCCGTGCAGTCACGCGCGTAGTTGACGTTGCAGGTCTTGGGCGGGCTGTCCTGGGCATCGATGAAGTGATACGGCGCAGCTACATACTTGAGTACCACTGTATCGCACGCATGCATTTGGACGTACAGAATTTGCCGGCAGTGGTCGCGCGATAGCTATCTGCCCAGGAAGCAATGCTGGCAAGGTAAGAGCTTGACGTGTCTCCAAGAATACCTTGGGAAGGAGTCAAAATATTGCCCCGACGATGACGATTGCACGGACCCTGAGCCCAAGTGGCGGTTGTGGGCTTCACAAAGTCCTGAGCGACATACGCAACAGTGGCGTGCCCGACCAAACCCCAAGCCTAGTAGATGAACAAGCTCAATGTTGGCCAGTCGCGACGAAATCAGGAGACAAACGAGAGCTGAGTGGGCGGAGCCGAGTCCTAGGATCGTCAAAGTGATCAGGGAGTACATTTCTGTGTCTGCACGTCCCACGGTTTGCTACCTGCGACCTTTTTGTATCCGTCTAGCCAAGACATTGCGCATGCGGGGGTCCCGTATCGTGTTGTGGGTTACCCGGCAGATAACTGCAGAGATAGTAGCTGCCTCCGCTATGGGATATCGCTGATAGATAGAAACCGCTGAGATACATGCGCGGTGGCAGGGCCCACCCATGTGGGACACGCCAAAAGAAGCAGACGACATCGTGCAAGAAGGTCAGCCCGTGCATGGTATGCCGTAGGCGTCAGCTCGATGCCATCAGCACCGGTCATTTCAGATGACCATGCTCACGAACGTTGTGGCCAACTCTAATACTGATAGGATCGTCGCGCTTCTAGCGGATGAAGTTGCGTGCAAGTGCATGGAATCGTGCTGTACGATCACCAGCTGACTCTTTTGATCGTGATCGGCCTCCGGTCCACAATACACTGCCACAGATGTCCTAGCACTGCCACGCGAACTCGGTCTGATGACATCATCACTAGTTCTAAAATCTCACCTTGCGTAGAATATTCGGTTGCCCTGCTTTCTCGCACTTGCTCTCTTAATTTGTAGAGATGACGCCACCGAGAATATGAAATTTTTTGCAACCTTTAATTTTGCAGCTTTGTGCTATGTAACAATCACTTCAAACGATATTCAAAGAGACATTGCGGGTCTCTAAGAACGGGAACGGGCCGGCCTAGACAAAGAGTCAGAGGAATGAGAGTCAAGTCGATGCAAAAACTCACTCCAATCAACGTGACGTGCGCGACGTTGAGCTGCGCCGGGCCCTTGGCCAGGTTCGCCGGAATGGTGACCGTCAGGTTCTGATATGGAGGCTTGCTGGGTGTCACATTGGTGTGGAACATGGGGTTGTAGCCGCCGTTGTACAGGACAGTTCCCAGGACGTCGGCGGGCGACGGACAAGGGCTGCCTACGCAAGAGCGGACGGCGATCACAACTGCCACTTCCGTTGAACCGGTGATGGTGTCCTGCGCCGATTATTGTTTAGCAGAGCTACGACGGGGTGCTACGAGGCACTTACGGGGCGGTCGACTTCCACCACGAGCGCTGATCCTGCCTTGACCGTGGCGCCATCCGCGGGCGCACCGATTTCGATGCTCTGGCCGAAGACAGCGGTGGCTGCAAAGAGGAAAGCGAGAACGGAAATCTTCATGTTGTTGTTCAGTGAGTCTGACGAACTGTTTTTCGGGGGAGAGTCTATATACTCTCCAGCACTCGGGATTACCTAATGTGGTGTCTCATTAATTTCCCTGCTTAACTGCGCTTGTCACGCACGTTAGGAAGTCATATGTGCACTGTGCGGCGAGGGATGCCCGTCGAGACTTGTGAGAATGCACGGCATTGGCTGAAAGCTCCTCGCTTGCCTGTAATGAAACGGTGAACGCTGGAGCCCAGGCGGAGAACGCATTGTTCGTAGACCCTATCCCCGACCAACGCATGGGTCAGATATCTCGGGATTTCCTCGAATATTTGCGTCCATGGACCGCGGACCGGGGAAGTGGAGCGCTTCAACATCCAGCCGGCCACCAGGCCCCACAGCGGGGAACTCGCGAAGCGCGGGCAAGACGCAAATAGAACAGTAGCCCATGATTTCTGTCAGAAATCCAGGTACTGGCTCTCACACTCCACCGTCGTGGACTGGAGTCCTTATGACAGCACACCGCTTCCTGATCATGTGATCGTGTTCATCATGAAAACGCGTCACTGGGGGTCGCGGACCGCATCGGTATATCTCGTGACCGTGCAATCCTCGTGCAAGCTCATGTGAAACAAGAAACGCACGTGACCATTCAATTGCTTCCAAGCAACTGCTTTGACCCGACTTTCCAGCGGTGTTCATCGTCGCAAAACGTGATTGAAACTGTGGAAGCTGCGATCCCGAAGGATTTAGTGTGGCGCATCGGACCTCGTGAGTAGAGCGCAGAGGCTGGATTTCATGACGGCTGCACTGTTTGGTATAGTTACTGGACGGTGAGCAATTTGTCTTTGGGTCTAGGCGTTCGCCACTTTTTCCTTGAGAGTACATCCATCTCAGTCTGAAATCCGGTCAGCATCTTCCCACCTGACTACCGGCCACCCTGAGGTAAAATCCGCATTCACGATTCCCATCTTGTAGCGCCCTCGAGGTGACAACCCACGACGTTGCTGGGCTCTTTATGGGAGCCCGGTCGGGAGGTTCTCGAAAGCTGACACCTCCTCGACATCGTATGGCCTGTCGCAGTCGCTATAACCGACGCAGTTCGTAATCCTCGGCATTTCACGGCCCCGACCGATTTGACGCCCATCCTCAATGCCGGAAACCATCTACCCGATCGGCTGCACGGGCATGTGCTCTGGCGGAGAAAGGCAGCTTGAAGCTGAACTGCAGTGCATACCTGAGCACGCACAGAGACCTACGCGCGAAGCTTTCTCTCTGAATTCCATGCAGCATTCTTCGGAAGACGCGAATCGTCCAACGGAGGATGTTGCGAGCCAATCTAGGCGTCCGGTGATGCTTCACGCTCACGCGGACAGGGCGACGAGTGCAGCCGAAGTCATGGTCTTCGGGGTTAAGCACACGCAACGTGAGCCGTGATTGGCGGTCACAAGACAACGAACGGGATTGGATACTGGCCTGAGGCCCGGAGGCTCATGCGTTGGATGCATGGATCCAGTTTCATATCACAGATGCTGTCCAGCGCTCCTTTTCCATTCCCCGTCGTAATCGTAATCCCTGGATCGTATCAACACTGTTTCCAAGTGCGACACGCACGCAGTGCCCGGTAGTCAGACGCAACAGAGGTCCGCAATTTGTGAAACAGTGGTAGATAATGTCGTGCATTGCCGGTATTGCATCCGAGACGATAACTGGTCCTGGCCAGTGGCCAATTTGTGATGGGCGCAAGCGGACTTGCTCGTTTACGCGAAACTTGAGTTGTCGTGCCATCATCATCACTTGATTCGGCGTGGCCGGCCACCATCTAAAAAAAGATGGGTTAGCAGTGATTACGGTTACCTGATTGCATGCTTCGACGCCACAAGCTACCTGGAGGCTTTATAACTGAGGGGTCTCCGGCACCCGATGCTTTCTTCGGGCCTCTCCTCCTTTCGTTCTTTCTTTTCTTCGGTCTCCTCGCTTTCGCGCTCACACGACGAGGACTGGTTCCTTTGACGCTCTTTTTACACATTAAAACTTCCCTCACTCTCGTTTAATCATGTTCGCCGGAAACAAGTCTCTTCTCGTCTCGCTGCTGGCAGTAGTTGCGCAGGTCTCAGCCCATGCGATGGTCAAGTGCGCAGTGCACTCTGCTCTCATGCCTCTTGGCTAACGCACTAGCTAGGCCCGCCCTCGGAGTCGCCGCCCCTCAGCGCAGCGACGTCCAACGGCCTTCCACCGCCAAGCCTTGCGGGAACATCGCGATTGCCTCCAACCTCGACAAGTCCACCACCACTTCCGTCGCCGGCGACGGGACTGTGACTCTTCAAATTCAGAACTGTGAGTCCGTCCCGCACGCGATCGGATTCCGGTACTGACCACGCGCCAGTCAACGCGTAAAATTGCCTCGCCCTTGGGTTGAAACTCGTGACTGACTGATCCGTTGCAGGGGAAGCGACGGCGCTACCGCGTTGTCCTCCGTTCTCGTGGATGCTACCGGTACCGGAAACAAGTTTGTTGCCGGTTCGATCAAGCAGAATGGAAACCCGGTCAGTAATATCACGCAAGGGCCATATCCCATTCCACTGACGCGGTTGTATTCCCAGAAACCAGCCAAGACCGAGACGGACAGTGTTGTCATTGCGTGTGTTATGGAGCTGTACTTTCACTGCATTAGTTCTGACGTTCTGCAGTCTCCCGGCGGGTACCAAGTGCACTGGTGGCGCGGGAAAGAACTTGTGTCTTGTGGTGCGCAGGATTTCTTTATGATCACGACCCCGTCTTGAAGTCGCGCAGTCCGTCAAGACCAACGCCGGGTTCGGCGGCTGCACCGTTGTCTCCCAGGGAAGCGCTGCTGCTGCTGCACCCAACAACAATGCCGCTGTCCAGAAAGCCGCTGCGCCCCCCGCCAAGACGTCCACCGTCGCCAAGGCCCAGTACAACCAGGCCGCACCGACGACTGCGAAGGCCGCTGCGAAGGCAGGCCACACCGTCGTCGTCACGGACATCGTGCACAAGACGAAGACCGTGGACGAGAAGGTGACCAAGACGGTGAACGAGAAGACCACCAAGGTCGTCAGCAGCACTTCGACCAAAGCCGCTGCCTACTCGAAGAGCACGCAGAAGAGTAACAAGGACACCAGCAGCAAAGCTGTCGCCGCGAAGAACAAGTCCTCCGCCGGAAGCAAGTACCGGAAAGGTGGAAAGAAGAACAGCATGGGGAGCAAGGAGGCTGACAAGAAGAGCTCGCACAAAAGCATGGACAAGGGCAGCAAGAGCAAGAGCAACATGAGCTCCGACAACAAGAGCAAAAGCGGCATGAGCTCTGACAACAAGAACAAGAGCGGCATGAGCTCCGAGAAGAACAAGAGCAGCATGAGCTCCGACAACAAGAGCAAAAGCGGCATGAGCTCCGAGAAGAACAAGAGCAGCATGAGCTCTGAGAAGAACAAGAGCAGCATGAGCTCCGACAAGAACAAGAGCAGCATGAGCTCCGACAGCAAGAGCAAAAGCAGCACGAGCTCTGACAGCAAGAGCAAGAGCACCATGAGCAAAGGGAGCAGCAGCAGCATGAGCAAGGGGAGCAGCAGCAGCATGAGTGAAAAGAGTAAGAGCGGAGGCCAGGAAAGCCAGGAAAGCCAGAACAGTGCAAGCCACATGGGTGAGAGTATCCGTTTCCAAATACAATCCCGGTTGATTAAACATTCTGCAGGGCGCGACGTCGAGGACGAAGCTGATCTCGAGTAGATATCGAATGCGAGTGTCACTAGTCTTTGCACCAGGGAAATGGGAATTTTCATCGTTGAGCTCCACGATCAGTCACAGTCAGGTGGTGTGATAAATGTCACTAGATGGTCCGGTCCAAGTTCCAGACAACAACCGTGACAAAATGCCGAAGCTGGGAATCGTTCTCGATTGAATGGATATGCCGTCTTTTTCAGGAGCGGGCACGCAATCTTCACTCCACTCGGCGCTTGTGGCGAACACATTCACGGTTCTACTGTCAATTTAGCTGAAATTCGGCGCCTGTGTCTTTTTTATGCTACCCCTAACAGACGCTCGAACGCTCATCCTCTCTCTCTCCATTCCACCATATGCAAACCGAGAATCGTCCTTCTCACCCGCAGCTGCTGAATCCTACGATCTATGTCGGTCATTTTCCGGGATACGTCTCCGACGCACAGGTCTCTAGCATGTTCGAGTCCCAGGCGTACACAGGCTGGGTGAGAATACGATCTCGAGCCAGCATGGGGAATCAAGAAGGATCGTTCCGTCTCCGGATCGACTTCGCCAATCTGTACGATGGTACGCCCTCATTTCACATCTCGTTCGTACATACCCACCATGAATGGGTCACTTTAGCCGAAAAAGCGCTCGCCTCGAACCACACCCGTCATATCCCAGGGCTGAAATCCCCCTTCTCGCTGCGGTGCTCGCTGACCCCGCTTTTCCGCGCGCTGAAGCTGCCCGTAAACGATCTGACCGCCGCGCCGCGTCTCATCAGCATGCACACTCCGGGCATGAAAAGCACATTGTCGAAGATGTTCGATCTTCTGCGTGTGTATGGACCGATATACACCATCCGTATCGAACGAGCTATCGGACTGGCCTTGGTCCAGTTCTACACGGAGGAACATGCTGTCGCAGCCAACGAGCAGGCCGGTCTGCCTCTGCAGGTGTACGATCCGTGCATAATCTGTTGCACAGTATGTGCAAAAAGCTGCATATTCGTCTATTGACGACTCTTTCCGAGCAGAGCAACGGCGAGCAATTGGATGAAGAAGCCTTGGAGACTTTTCTGCTGCAGGTGAGTGCACTTGCGTTCCTGGGCCCAGTACCTACCGGAACTTGCGGTCTTAGTATGGTCCGATCACCAAGGTTGAGACCGAGTGGGGGGACAGCACATTTGTCACCTTTGGTAGTCCCGCTAATGGCAAGTCCCATCAGCCCATATCGTTGTTGTCCCTCATTGCTCGGACAGCTCTCGCGGCTCTACGCAAGGTGCATGGAACCAGCGTCGCAGGAAAAGAAATCTCTGCGACATATCGCACCGTCAGGCACTCCCATCCAGTGGCCGACGTGTCTGATACCCAGCAGCAGCACCAGCCAGCTGCGAGTGGTTGTTCTTGCCCCTCTACGATCGTTCTAGTCAATCTCCGCGCTCACTATGACGCTCAACTAGAAGCCGGGATTAAGCAAGCCAAAAAACTGGCCACCCAGCACGAAGTCGAAGTCGAAAAACTTCGGCAAGAACTCCGTGATACGCAGCGCGCGCTCAGTTTGGCCGAATCGCGGCTGAAGCTAATGGACATAGAGCGCGATCGGCCGCTCTGGGAAGCAGCGAAGAAAACGCGCGAAGGGAAGGCGCGCGCGGCTGCAGAAGCTGCCAAGGCCGAAGCCATCGCCCGGGCATGGAAGATCGAAGAGATGCGCCGCAAGATGGCGGAGATCGACGCGCAGGAGGCTGCGAGCCGAGCCGCCGAGGCGGACCGTCGCGAGTGCCTGCGGCAGCAGGCCGCTGCTGAGAAGCAACGCCGCGAGCAGGATGAAGAACGTGAGCGCGAGCGGCAGCGCACAGAGGCAGCGCGCCAAGCACGTGAGGCTGAGGAGAAACGCCGTCGCTGGGAAGCAGCGACCTCAGACGAGGTCCTTCGATGTCGGAATCGCGACCGCATCCGCTGGGGAGCAAATAATTGGACGCCCAGCCTCGCATTGCAGAGGCTGCAGTTCCAAATCGCCGAATTCGAGTCCATCAAGTTCTCGGAGGCGCAGCCTCTGACGTTCGAGGTCATTCCCTGGCCGGTTCTGCGCAATCCACGCCAGTTGGGCCTCGACGATGTCTCTTGGAAAGCAGCGGAGGATTTCTTCGCGTCGGCTAAGCGACTGCTAGCCCATTCCGAATGCACATCGCTCGTCATCAAGGTCCACCGGACGTTTCATCCAGACAAATGGCCGGGAAAGCTGCTGACTGTGTTTGAGGATGGGCTCAGGACCCAGTTGAAGGACCATGTGAATATTGTGGCGCAGGCGATGACTCCCTTGTGGATAACATCCAAAGACTCTGGCTAGTGTGTGTAGCATGCCAGTCACCAATGATTTTTGATGGCGCATCACGTGTAATTGCGCGCTCGCGCTACTCATCTGACACTACGATCGGATACGTGCCGTGGTCCCAGTCCCGAGTCCTGACTCCAAGTTCATGGCCCAGGAATATGGCTCCCAGAACTGATGATTCAGCACTGGAGACACAAGGAACGCAAGCTTGAATGAACGACGAGCCAAAGTTCGAAAGGCTACGACATCATTCGTGCGCGGCAGGAGCTGCCGAAGTGCTTCTGCTCTTGACATACTCCAAGCCCGAAGCATTGAATTGCTGCACATGCAGGGCCCAGACTCTTCTGAGCTCCGTGAACGCCGCGCCAGCATTGTCCTTTGGTCCTGTGCAAACTGCCCCTTGACCTGGATCCGGTCTAAACCTGACGTCAAGGTTGAGCTTTCGAAGCAGGGGGCCGCCTGAAACGACTGGGTATCGCCGCAGCGCTTGCCGTCGGTGTCAGCTCGACGTCATTCTTACGGACTCCAGATCCGTTGGGTATAAAATGCATGAGATGAACGGGCGGTGAATCGTGCAGCCGACCCACAATGAAGCTCTTCTCCTTCCTTTCCCTCGCCCTTCTCTCCGTGTCCGGCGCTCTTGCCCAGAGCATCGAGATCGGCGCTCCGCTTCCCAAATCCAAGCTCGAATCCGGCTGCAACTTCACCGTTGAGGTGGACCGACCGGTGCGCACCTCCGTTTCGGTCCCTGTCATGTGCACTCGGACTCATATTGCCAGGACACACTCACTGGCTCAACGGAGGTCGCCATCGCAATTGCCCTGAAATCCAACACCGCGCCGTACGGCATCGGGGACTTGCTCTACATTGGCTCGTACAACCCACAGTTCCACACCGGCGCTGCGTGGTACAAGCCCCCGCATCAAAACTTCTCCGTCAAGGTGCCGAAAGACCTGGCTCACGGGCCGGCGCTGTTGAGCGTGCAGCATTGGTCCATCGTCGGCGTGAGTATCCGAGTTGTGGATGGGTGTGTGCACATGATGACTGACTGTCGCGCAGGCGAGCCAATGGTCGCTTCTGGAGTCCAAGAACATCACGGTGGTGGTGACCTGATGATCCCTGCGTGCAATTGTCCCACCTTGAATTCAGAGAAAGAAAAACAAATAGTTACAGATATTGTACGCAGGATAAATGAAACTTGTGTTACAGAAAAGATCCCCTCTTCAGAAGTGTTCCTTCGCGAACGTGAACTCGACACGGGCGTTGCTGGTGTGCTCGCAGGCGGATTTGATGACCTTCGCAAGGGGAGTGGGTCCACAGAAGAAGGTCCCGACTTTGGTCTTGAGCTGCTCGCTAGATCCAGGAAGATAGTGGCCGTCCTGGATGGCCTGGCTCATCGATCCGAGGATGGTGGACCAGTCGGGACGACCGAACTGCGACGTCAATTAGCAGTGCATAAGACGAGGGAAAAGGGGAAAAACGCACGGATGTCCTGGTGCGCAGCAAGGTCAGAGGATCATAGGCTGAACCTGCATCGTTGACAGCGATGTTCCACAGCATATCCTCGCTGATCTTCTGCGTGAGGTAGATATTGATGCGAAGGAAGTTGGCTGGAGCGCGTTCAGTGCATCAACTCGGGGGCAAATCACAGATACGCACGATCGGCTTGCGCTGCCTCGACCTCCGAAAGCAGGCTCTGGAACCAACCAAAAGACGGTGCATCGCGGACAATCCAGAAGAACTCGACGCGCCGCAGCGTGCCCAAGTTTCCCTTGCGCTGGCGGTACCAGATGTGTTTCAGGATCGAGGCAAAGGGCGTGACACCGATACCGGCGCCGATCAGGACTGCGACCTCGACGTCGAAGACGTCCTCGGTCGGAGCGCCGTACGGACCATCGATGCGGACGACGGGCATCGAGCCAGTAGTGCTGGCATCAAGCTCGACAAAGTCACCCCGCAGACCAGTAGCCTTCTCGTCCGTCTCGGAGCCTTTCATCGCAGACTTGGTCATGGACGCGACCACTGATGGGCCGACACCAAGGCGTTCGCCGAGGGCATGGGTCCAGTCGCCGACTTGACGCACATGCACCGAGACGTAAGGGTCTTCAGGTGCCGAGGTGATTGTGAACTGGGCGGGGGTGAATCGGTGGTCATGTCAACAGAAGACGGAGGTAACCCACGGGATGCCATTGCCAGATCGACAATTCCGGAACTTGTAGGAACAACCATTGCCCAGGTTGATATTTGAAGCTGGGTTTGTCGATACGCAGTTCCATTGCACCGCTGGGGTGCACTAGGACACGAGACAGTCTCGTAGCACGGCGGGCACGGATTTCTCTCCAGACACGTTCGCCGAAATAGATGATGCCAGGCCAGATGATGTAGCGCCAGCTGAGGTATCCGAGGCAGTGCTTCGGGTCATAGAACGGGAACGTATCTGTGTAGGCTGGGTTGACGGTGTCGCGCACGAAACAGCCCGTGGCGTGGGTGTACACACCGATCATGAAGAAGAAGGCCAGATGGTGGGTGTACCAGAACGCCTCGAAACACTGGTTTCGGACCTTCTGTTGCGCCGTCGTGTACATCAGCAGCATCATGAGCAGCATAAAGTGGCCAGTGAGGGCACCCGCTTGCGTGTAGTGGATATCGAGCGCTCTCTCCTTGCGGACCTCTGATCCAGGTGTCAGAAGGGACTGACTAGCCAAGAGAGCAGCTTACGGGTGCGCTCGACATTGATAAAGTTGACATAGTGGCCAGAGGTGTGCACGGCGCTCCAGAACGCCATCGAGTACGCGACTTGTCGATGGAACCACAAGTTCTCGTCCGCAGGAAAGAGCCACGACATCTTGGGGCGCACAAATCGGATAATATTGCGGAGCAGCGGAATCAAGATCAGGCCGCAGTCGAGCGCCAGCACCAAGCCGGCGCCACGGGACACCCACACCGAGTAAGTGAGCAAGTTGAGCACGGCAAGCTTCTGGTTGGTTTTCTACGACGGAGCATAGATGAGTGTCACAGCATCACATCGACGAAGGTTAGAGATTACCTGACTGTGCCATCCATAGGCAAACCAGAAGATGTGGATTCCATAGAACAGAATGTTAAAAGTCAGCCGGCGTCCATTCATGAACTCCCGCCGAAACCAACTCTCTCCCATTGCTGCGTGCGTATCAAGTCGTCGAGATAAAGAACGTCTTCAAGTTAGATCTGAGGCCAGTCAGACCGTTAAAAGAGAGGATGGGGTCGGAGGTTCGCTTCGTCAAGAGCGGGACGTCCGGGGGACGGGAGGGGAGATGAAAGAAGAACGAAAGCGTGAAGCGGCGCTGGAAGTCTAACCCACTGCCTGTTTTCTCGGCCGATCCATTTGTACCCAGGGCGCGTTCTAGACAGGTCCAGAGACTCTCGCGATTGATGGTGTGTCCCCGACAACACCGCTGTGCAGTGTATGAAACTGATAGCATCCGAGGCCAGTCCAGTCCAGATTCGAGGAAATCAAGTCATTCAAGATCGACATTCAGTGCTCTTAGAAAGCCTCCCGTGCGGGTTGCAGGCAGGTCACGGCGCGGGTTTGTCAGAGAAGTAGAGATCATGACCACTGCAGTGTTTTCTGTGATTGAAATGCACTCGATGGAGGTTTTGAGACCGAAATCTGGCCCCTAGGCAGATTGTATGCGGGTTCAGCAGTCTCATTTCTCGAGACGAGACTAAGGAGGTTGAGGGATCTGTTCGAGTCAGGTGATATGCCAAGATAAGCGTGTCCGCGGCATGTGACCGGTGAAGCTGCCCACAAATTCGGTTCCCCGCTCCTGTTGTGACGTTGCGACGATCACGATCTAATCACCGCCTGTGTGCTCCTTGTGCAACACCAATACCTCTTGATGTCATACGGCGATGACGACCGAGCGATGTGCTCACGTCCCACCAATAAGTACTGTCAATAGCGAAGGCGCGCTATACATGTCAGACTCGGGCGACCGAAATCAGGGCCGGAAGAGCGGGACAAGTCGTGATCATTCAACGCTGCATTGATGACAAGTTCGAGGGAAGGCCGCTTTGAGTTCCAGACCCGAGCTATCTTCAAGTCCGTGGGCAACCTGAATGAAAAGACGACCTCTTCGCCAGTATCGAACTGAAGAAGCTGACGTAGATCTGATCATGGATTTTGTGCCGATCCTGACCGTGACGAACAGCCGCCGTCTCCCGTTCGTCGAGGTCGCAAGGTGCGTTCGCGAATGCTGCGGCTCTCGAAAGAGGTTTAACGAAACTCAGGTACGTTAACTCGGATGTAAGCACTCGAATCGCCAGCCAATGATCCGAGGGCTGGTAGTTTGAAGTATGTTGTGCAGAAATAAACCAGATTCTATTTTTAACTTGCGTCTATTTCTACGCAGGACTATCATAAATCTGCTTCTTATCCAGTGACAGATGGGACGGCTAGGGACGGCTCTCGTTGTTCTTACCCTTCCACCGTCGGACAGCCGCTCGTTTCTGCTCCGCCCTCTGCGTTTGCTGGATAGGCGCGACCCACCGCAATACACGGATAAGCTCTCTGCCGAGGTGGTTAGTCGGGTGCACGCCTAGCTCAGGTGCCCGACACGTTTTCCGCCGCATAGTTACCTTGTAGGCCGCCTAGATCCCGTTGCCCTCGACTGAGGCCATGCTCCCATATCGTCCATCCGTTCCCTCACCGTCTCTGCGCGATTTTCTCAACCCGACCCGCTACAAAACGATAATACTCATCGTCATACTCTCGTTTACCTACGTCTGCATCGTTCTCAGTGGCCGCTCGTGGAACTTGGTGTTCCTGTCTCAGGATGCGGACTTGGTATTTGAGCCGAACGAATCCCAGCCCGGTGAGCTCAGGCCAGTTCGGTACAGATCTGCCGTGTATCATCCGTTCCGTGTCCCGACAATCGAAACCTCGCTCGCAAACCAGACGGTGCGGCCGATCAAAGCACATAGTGCGCTTTCTCGGGAGTGTCTGGATCGATGGGTGTCGACGGGCCAGTGGCAGGAGCCGTGCAGACACAGCATGGTACAGGACTCCAAGATTGATCTGGTCTACATCTGGGTGAACGGGTCGTGCGTCTCCGTCCAACTTTAACTTGACGTCGTAATGATCATCTTGACGGGCAGAGATCCTTTACACTTCGCCTCTCGGAACACGACACTGCACGACACCAATGGATATCGCACCTCTGAAGCTCGATTTCGCGAGCACGGAGAGCTGCGGTACTCGATCCGTGCAGCGCAACGAGCGACCGCAACATGGCCCGATGTCACTACGCACATCGTCACTGCTGATGTTCCTGCGCCGAATAATGACACTTACCGCTTGGGCCTCGTGCCTCAGTGGCTGGATCCCACATGCGCATCGTACACTTTTTCGCCCCAGATCGACCAGGAGGTCACCGTCCAGCAGGGTCAATCACCGATCCGCTTGCATCATGGTAGATAACCCGACTTGCTGTGGTTACTAGTCATTCAGTGCATGGCATAGACACCCAGCTCTTTCGCTATACTGCTGACCCCGGCTCTCTGCTACAACCGCAAGACGCCGCCCTATGGCTGAGCAATGTTTTGCCGTCCTTCAATAGGTCTGTGCTGGTGTACGCATGCCCAGGAGCACACTGATGTCGTTACAGCATGGCCGTTGAATCACAACTTGCACATCTCAATCCCGATGTGGTGTCTGAGAATATGTGCGTGTCCTCGGGCTTTTCAGTGTTTGTTTTCTGACTGGTCCGCAGCATTGCGCTCAATGATGATCAGTTTCTGATGCTTCCTGCGCCGCCGTCCGCTTTCCATAGCACTCTTTACGGACCCGTCTTCCGGATCCAGGACAACTTGATGGTCGATGGAAACGACCGGGGGATGGCGGACGGCAACGGCGAATGGCGCTCCCTTCGCTGGAGCGCACAGGTCCTTGGTACATCTTTCTCCTGCTCTCGGCATTTCAACGACTGACCCGGCACCCAAGACAAACGGTTCGGGACACGGAGACGGCCCTATGTCCAGCACAACGCTCGAGCTCTTTCCTTGCCTCTGATGCATGAAGCAGCCCTCACCTTCGGTTCAGAGTTTGCCAATACGCCTCTTTCCCACTTTCGCGGCTCTCACGACGTCTCCGGCGAATACGAGATCAACACGATCTTCCTCGCGTCACACTTCGTGATCGAGCGCCATAGAGAAGCCCTGCTCTGGTCCTGGGTGATTGGGAAATGGGGTTCTAGAACGAACGGCGTCTTCGATAAGCGTGTCAAAGCCGAGATGTGGGCTGATCTCGGCGGTCAGCAGCAGATGGATGATCTGGTCTTCCAGGCTCCTGAACGCGCGACCAAAGACCATGTCGACTTGAACATGCTCATAGCCGGGATTCAGCCCCCTGAAGCCATCGAACCTGACAAACAGATGCATACTTTGTACAGCTGGGGTGAGTTCTGGGACCTCCTTTCGACGACAATCGGGCTGAACCTGTCCCAGTTTCCATGGATGGGTACACCTCCGATTACAAGAATTTTCCGATGAAGACGACACATCGAAGGAGTGCCTGTCTGGGGACTGAACCGGAAGATGCCTGGGCTGTCTTCATTAGATTACTGATGGGTCAGTGCGGAGACTACGGTGTGTTTTGTGATCTACTACTAGTCTCGTGGCTCGTGCTTACTTGGATCAGTCATCACTTCCTTGACACGCAAATCCACGTCAGGGCTGAGCGCATTCCTACCTGATCATACAGAAGCCAAGGAATCTCCGGAGGACCCTGTCACACTACCTCTCGAATTGCCAAATCAGATGCCGCGGCTACCCTCCAATCCCAGAGCTTTTGCCACACGCATCATACAGCGATATGCTTACGTCATCGGTGACTCCCCAACGGTCTTCATGAGCATGAAGGGTGTTCTTGGCGCACAACGCATCCTGGAACGCGTCGATCGAGAGAGGAAAACTGCGCTCTTTTGTTTGAACGATGACCTCAGTAGCAACCAGAAGGTTCTCGGTGACACTGATACTCTCCTAAGACGCTGGTTTGACGGTCGCTGGCCCGACAAGCTTCACTGCGAGACGGGACGATAGCTGTTGTATTTTGATCTCATTTGTACTTATCTAGTTGGCTGGTAGAATTGTAGACGTACAGTCGTTTATAATCAAATCACTTTGTAGACGCCGCCAAATCCGAATCAGCCAATCGATCGAATTGTGGGAAAGGTACAAGAGCACTGGCGACAGCGACGGAATTACAAATTTGTGGATACTTCAATACAAAATCACGAAGAGAGAAAGTCAGGCAGATCAAATTCGAAGCCACGTCAGCCACTGTGGTCGCGGGACATCTCGTGCATACAAGCGAGCCAGGGAGCTCGCCAGAGAGGGAGGAGTGCCGAGTCTAAGTGAATGATCCAAATTTTGAGAGAGGCGCAGCTGAGGAGGCCGCAGGAGCCCTTGGGGTGGAGCTGACTCGTATGATTGGGAGACGGCGGTGTCCGACTCGCTTTCAGAGGTCCTGGCACCAGAACTCTGCCCGGAGTAAGAAATCAGGGCACTCGGATTGAAGAGAGCCCGTACATGAGTGGAAAACACACTCGGGCTTGCACGACAATGTCTAGCGCGTAGTGCAGAGAGTTGAGGAGGGGTCTTGTACCGGGGCAAGCCGCCGCGAGCAGCCTTCTTGGCAGGCGGAGGTGGAATGAGTCGTGAGGCCGGAATGTGTCCACCAGCCGCATAATAGCGCGGCATATCGTTGAAAAACTCAGATGGATTCCCGGCGGGTGGAATCTGGAAGGAAGTAGGTCTAGCGGGCGGCGACGCCCAGTCACGGTCCACGGTGGCTTGCCCGAATGGACAACCGACGAGAGACTGTGCTGGGGCATCCATGAGCACCAAGGCAGGCCTAGCCAGATCTGTCAGCCTTACCTGCAAGGCATGCCTCGCGTGCTTCACGATGGAACTGCTGCAAGCCCTTGTATACCCGCTCTGCTCGAACGGAATCAGGCGTTGTGTCGAGATTGTGGTCGACGTCCATGGGCTCAGGGGCAAGTTCATCGATTTCCATGGGCTCATCGGGTTGGGGCCCCAGATCGACAATGACGAAGTCAGGATCTACTTCCATTTCGTCGGACAAGGAACGAGTGCCGGAGAGGGTCGTGGGGGTTCCGGTAGTACTGCCAAAAGCGAAGTAGGCGGGAAATGAGTTCCAGGCGATGTTGCTGAATGCTGTAAAGGTGCTCGACATTGCGGATAGAGAGGCAGGGGAGTCAGGAGCAAGCGCGAGTTATTCAAATAAATCATAGCGATGCGATTCTGCTTTATACACTAGTGCTTTGGAGTTGATATTGATGCCGCTTTGCCTACTTGAGAGACTGAACAATATAAATCAGAGAAAAAGCGCGCGCGTAACACAGAAGCGGTGGGAGGTCAGAGTGTTGCACTGGACACTGAGCGCTTTGAGCCTTGATGATTGATGGGAGATCATCCGATAGTGCTTTGACCCGGATGAACGAGTATGTAAATCTGTAAACACGGAGCATGTAATGTGGAGGCCTCCGAAGGCTATGGAAAGCAACATGGCCGCGGAGGGTGAGATCGACGAAAGCGGGAGGCGTGGACATGATCATCAGGACAATTGATGGGAATACTGCTTGTCCTGGCTTGTCGCTACCACCACACCTCTTTCCTTCTCATGCACCTTCAGCTGTAACCTTGTACCCTGTTGTTCTATCATCTCTTGTACCCCTCTTCCATCCGCCATGCCCCACGTACGTTTCTGGTCCAGCAGAAAAGTTTCCCTGGCGTTCACTGACTAATACGTGGTTATTTAGGACGCGGCCTCTCAGAGCCTGCTTTCTCTCTCCCTGGCCGCTGCGGCCGCCCAACCGATCCACATATCTGACGCCGTAGCTGCCAATTCACCCAGGCATCCGCCGCCGATCGGCCAGGCACCCCACAGGCGCTTGTCCTCGACAAACAGACACCGTAGGCTGAGCGACGCGAGGGATGCAGCCACTCGTCCCCTGTAAGTCCTCTTAGTACTTATTTTGCCGGAGGACTTAGGATTTGATAGGGCGGTCGGTAGCCCGACACTGGCGATGAAGGGCCTGTCGCTCTCCTCTTCGGTTTCTCCTCCGCCAGCTGGTCTCGCTATAGCCGCTAGCGCTCCGGCGGACAGCAGCTCACCGATACCGATTGGCTCTGGGCGCAATAAGAAACGCGGGGTGGACCGTAAGTGCGAAACTTGCTCAAAGGTTCGTTGTCCGCCTTGACTCAGTCCATCTTTTTTCTGTCCCATCCTGCATCGCCTTCATTTGCTTGATTCGCTCATTGATTGGGACTGCCCATCACACTGATTCATTTGACGCTTCGATGTGCTTGGTTGTCTTTATGTTCACTCCTCTCATCCATCTGCCTCTGCCTGCTTCATGCCGTTGTCGGCTGCGCTGTATGCCCTATCTTGGGAAATTTTTGATGACGAGATACAACCCCTTTATTCCCTTATTGGTTGACATGACTCATCCTGCTGACATATGCGGGGCGAGTGACCTTGTCTTACTTTCCCCATCATGCACCCTCTTTCGTGATTTGACGTTGACCATGATGTAGATCTACCGCCATCCCTCGTGTCTTATTAAGCACCGCTGGGAACATACCCCCCATTGGCGCACGCTGTCGTCTTTACCCCATTCCGCTTCAGGTGGCGTCCTCACCAAACATGCGCAAGTGCAACTTCTCGAGGCGGCTGCCATTCTTTCACACCTGAATACGGATACTGGCACCAGTCTCCCGGAGGATCGGAGCATGTGGCCTAGATGGGTCAGCGGTGGCACGCTCGAAGGTGACGGCGACGTTCCTGCCTCGTATGGGTCAACTGGGTTCGGCTCGGTCGCGAGTGCCAGTGACTATGGTCATGGGACTCGGACTACGGGGAGCGTTCCCGGCCCGAGATTGCATGACTATGAGGTTCCGCGAGGCGTTCAGGTCCGCTCCGGTGTCGTCGAGGTTCCTCATCCCCGTACCGGGCGTTATGGGAACGGACATGGACATGTCCACGGGCATAGTGTGGGAAGTGCATGGAGCGTCCCGCGTTCTGTCAGTGTCTCGGCTTCCGTCTCTTCGGAGCAAAGCCGGTCCCGCTCGACGCCCAGCGACGATGAGGAAGACGACGACCGAGCGTACTCATACTCCCGAGGCACGCGTGTCTGGAAACATGAAGAAGAGGAAGAGTTTGGTCTCGAGTTCGATCTCGGGGGCGTCAGAGAAGAAGAGGGTGAGGAGGATATCGACGAGAAGGGCGAGGCTCGTCGTTGGAACGGCATGGAAGACATGGACGATATCGATATGGACATGGATTGACATGCCCATCCACAATGCGCCACCAAACAGACGCACGCTCGAACCTTTCCTCTGGGACTGCTTATCTCCTCCTAGCATCGCATATATGGACCCGCTTCTCCTTTTACTTTACGGCTTGCGTCTTCGAGCGGAAGGATTTGAACGAATCGACGAATAACTCAACACGAAATCAATGTATCTGTATCATTATATCTATTCTTTCTCCCGAATGTGTTGTACATACATCAAATTCATGACGCAATTTTGACGATGGAACTGTTGTGAAGACCTTCCTTTCCAGGCGTGCGGACGTAGTGCGGCCGAAACCTCTCGATCCAGGGGCTCCCCCGATAAGTATATCTTCTGACAAACTTATCCACGATTTCTCAGATCCATGAGTAGAGAGATACAGGGGAAATATGGCGAAAACATCAACAGATTAAACACATTGGAGATCACTCTAAGAAAGAGCAAAATTGTACTTTTGGATCAAGGATCTCGTCTAGTCCCGTCCCATCACATTCTACGCAGTTGGAATGCCAGCAAACTCGTCATATCCAAGGGCTAGGTTGAGATTCTGCATAGAGTTAGTGTTTTTCCACGGGAATACGAGTTCATGCCGCACTTGTAGACATTGTGTGGCAGCACCCTTCAACAGGTTGTCCAATCCACCCTATGGCAATTAGTTTAGCTCCCTGTAATACAATCGATGTAACGCACGACGATGACGACGCGGTCTCCCTCTCGGGACATCTGGAACCCTCCAACGCTCCAGGTGTGCTTCCCCTCGATATCCTTGAGCTCTGGCACTCCTGACATAAGCCTGACTAAGCGTTCCCCTTCGTACTTTTCGGCGAACAAAGCTGCAATCTCTTTGGCAGAGTAAGAGCCATTCAGTGGAATAGAAGCAGTGGAGATGATTCCGCTGAACCATGGCGACACGAAGGGCACGAAAGCGACCTTGATTCCGGCGGTGCCCAGCCGGGACAGGTGGTGGCCAGCTTCACGCTCGTGGATGTGCCCGGTCAGAGAGTACGGTCGGACGCCCCCGCCGAGACTCTCTGGTGACACTTTTGGGGCGCTAGTCGGTTGGCCGTCGGGGTTAGTGGCCATCACGGTCCCAGCACCGCTGTAACCTGACATTCCAAACACGCTGGGGACTGCAGCAAGTTTGTCGACCAGCGGACCGAGCAGCATTTGCGTCGAAGTTGCGTAACAACCAGGGTTGGAAATACGTTTAGATGTCCGGATTTGAGAACGGCCATACAATTCTTTCGAAGGATCGATTCAAAATTCATGGTACAAATTAACGCGACACACCAGGCAGGCCATACGTCCAGCCCTCCTCGAATCGATAATCCGCACTCAGATCCACCACAACGCTGCTCTTCTCCTTGGTCTTGCCCTCGGCCCCACGGTCAATGGCATCGACAAAGGGCTTGCAAACTCCATTCGGAAGGGCCATCACCCACGCATCGACTTCCCCATCCTTCTCCATCCTCTCTACATCTTCGACCGACAGATTCGAGTACGTCACCTGCGCTTTCGAGTATCCCTCGAGCGGCATCCCCGCAAGCTGCCGCGAAGACACGTGAGAGAGTTCCAGATGCGGATGGTTGGCGAGCAGTGTAGTCAGCGCCTGGCCAGTGTACCCTCGAGCGCCAATCAGCCCAAGTCGCTTGACCTCAGTGGACACCGGCCCGGTAGCCGGCTCCGCCATGCGCCGAGCGCTGGTCGAGAACGACCGCTTGCCAGAGGGAGCAGACGCTTTGTGCGGTGGCGCGGACGGTCCCACAGGAAGATAGGACCGTTCGATCCGGCCCTTCTGCTCGAAGTCCTTGATGATGCGCTCGACCTCGTTCACATCTTGCACGCCATACCAGAACAGACTCTTCCCTGCGCGGGTGAAGCTGCCGTCCGCCCGCTCAAAGTGCCAAGCGCGGTTGTCATCGTCAGCCTGCGCAGTCCAGAACAGACGACGGTGATCCTTCTTGATGGCGTTGAAGACATTGTCCATCACATTGTTCAGGACACCGGCACGAGACGGGAGAAGTTTCTTCAGCACTGGAGTCTCGCCAGGGGGATGGGACACGACGGCGACCACATCCAGCGGCTCGTCGCCGTAGATGGTGTATGCCGAGTCTTTCATCTCAGCCAGTACACCGGCCACGCTCTGGAAGCCATTCAAAACTTCGGGGTCACGGTCGTGGATGACTTGGCGGAAGCGGTCTGCGCCGAGGCCCTCGATCGAGTCGTGCTTGAAAAGCTTGTAGCCACGACGAATGAGGGTTCCCGCGCCGCTGTCCGTGAACAGCTCCTTTTGGAGCATCGGTGCTGAGATAACAGCAACAGACGATGTGCGGGGAAGGTAGTCCAGCAGTTCCTTAAACTCCCGCAGCTTGAGCTTCGTGCCAAACTTGACCCAAGGCTCCTTCATCAAACTCTCATATTCTTCGTCCAAGTTGATCACGGACAGTTTCTCGCCTGTCACACCGTGGAACAGCCCGCCCTTCTCGTTCAAGAAGACAATCTTCATCGGCTCGAGCTCTTTGGCGAGTTCGCCTGCTGCGATGTCGGCGTTGACGTTCAGGATCTGGCCGTCGGGAGATTCCGCCAAGGACGTGAGAATGGGCAAAGCGCCCGCTCGGATCGAGGCCTCGAGCGGTCGCTTGTCAATCTTCGTGATCTTCCCTACTAGTCCGTACTTGTCCTTGTCCAGGTAGTCGGCGGTGAACACCCCGGATGTGATGGGCCGAGCGCGCGTGCCGTGCTTCTCGAGCGCCGTCACGAGCTTTAGGTTTTCCTCCAGGAAAACCCGGCGGGCGATTTGAAGCGTCTTGGCGTCTACAGGGCGGCGTTAGTCTAGATTCCCATGCACAGGTTGTGGGCGGCTAAATGAGACAAACCGGTAACTCGAATCCCGTCAATATAATCAGGGACCACACCCTCCCGCTCAATCAATTGGTTGAGTTGCGGGCCCGCACCGTGCAGTACGACTGGGTACAATCCCACTCTGTACAAGAAGCTCAAGCTTAATGCGAGCTCGTCTATTTGATCCAAAACGGCGCCCCCAATCTTGATGACCGCAAATTTGGCGGGTTGGGAGGGGTGCGACGACGAGGAAAAGATGCGCAGATGGCGCTCGACCTCGCGTTTGGTGCCGATGGAGTAGAGGAGACGAGTAATCGTGTCCTAATTGGCACCGTCAGAGGTTGGAAAACGACAGGGAGGAGTAGCGCTTAAAAAGGGAATGAATT